GAATGATATTGACTTGTTTTGCTTTAAAAAGATAAAATGGAGGCGGAGATTTTTAAACACCATGAACGATGTACGTGGTCTGGTACTTTTACCGTCGGTTTAGAACGAAAGTTGAGACTCAACCCAGAAGCGTATAATTAAAGGAAAACTAAAGAACGAACACAAACCTGATCTATATCAGTACCTCACCTAGGATTTTATGCGAGGAACTTTTTGCCGGCTTCTTTTAAATGCTTCACTATTGATTCGTGTTTTATGAATCCGGTATTTACTGGAGCTCCAGAGCGATGACTCTAAAACAATGAAGCACCTAAGAAATTTTTTCAGTAAAAGTATGGATCCTACATCGCCGGGTGCTGATACACATTTCTGGCTGGATTTTTTTTCAACTCTTCCAAAATAACAAATATATTAGAGTGCTCGATCGAAATGGAAAATTTCCCTTAAAAATCAATAATAGTTAATTTCATCGGCACAATAGGCAATGCTCGAAATAAGTGAAAGTGCAAAGGAAACATGCAAAGCGCCCTCAGTTAGTTTCGCATGCAACAAATCTCGCAGGATAACGCCTGGATACAACTATTCGGGCTCCATGGATGAGCGTGATGCATACGCACAGAAGTTAAGGCGTTTTAATTCTCCAGACACTCTCCGCGACGCTGCGCGGCGGCAGGCAATACTGCGAGGAATTATATCTTACATGCACACAGTCTTCGGATGTAAGTATATTTTGTGCCAAAGTTTTGATATCGCGACGTGTTGAGCATGATTTGTAGAGCTTATTCATGCTTAAAATATGTCTCGGTAGTATAAAAAAAGGGCCTTTTTGGAACCTCGCAGAACTGTCCGCCACGCCACGGTTGAAGCGGTGTGTGTCTGAAGGGTCAAAACGCCTTCGCCTCCTTGTGTATGCAACACGGACATCCATGGAGCCCGCACGGTTATGCATTCAGGCATTTTAATTAAAATCGTTTAGTGTTCATCCCATGCGATACTGAGTGTGCTTTGCAGATTCTTTTGCACTTTAGGTAACTTAATTCGAGCGTTACATATTGTGTCAGTTTACTATGTTACTAATTTTTATCGCGACATTGTCAATTTTCCAAGGATGCTTCGTTCATTTAAATGTATTACAACGTCGCCTTCCTAATTTGAAGGCTGCGGCCTTTAGGCTATTTATGTCAGATGGGGTCGAAATTTATGATTTTGGATTTGAGATTTGAGATTTAAATTATTTTGCTCAAAAGCGTCATTGCTACTTTTCTTTCCTTTTATCGCATATTATAGCTTTCTCCCTCTCCTCTTCATTTAGCACATCTGGCAATGAAAATACGGATTTTTGCTTGATCATCAAAAAAGCGTTGAAGGGAAGCGAAAATGTCGGCTGGTAAATTTATCGACCAGGAAACGTGAACATTCCTAATGCAAATCTGTGTCATACCCCCCACGCAATGAGACCGATTAACGAGAACCTCTATATCGCAACAAGAGCGCTCGGGGCGATGCCATGAAATTGTTCGATCCCAGTTCATTAAAGACGGGTCAGCGTGCGGACAAAATTATAATAGTGGCCAACACGCTATTCGGGGCTTAGGACTACTATAGAAGCAACTAAAGAGAATCTACATAATTTACCAGGATGCATCGATCTGTCCCGCAGAACCTCCGGATGTAGGTCAGTTGTGTGAATTTGACCCGCTTTTGGCGGATTGTGCCAATTGGCATCAGAGTGGACTAAAGAGCCCGCCTTTGAGTGCAAAAAGGTATGAACGCTAATAGTTCGAACACAGACATTGAAAGTCTTGGTGAAATTTTACCATGAACCAAGAAAGTATCTAACAGCCCTCAAACGCCCGCGCGCAGATGAATTGACGACTGATACTTTCTTAATATGATATTTCATGACTCCATTCCTCGTTTTTGACTGCAACGATACACAGACATTCATAAATACATGTCTATGATTTAAAAAAATACGAATATCAGAACTACAATGTTGCAGATCTCCTATTGTATATCACTTTTTTCGAAAGACGGTCGGGCACTTCTGAAACTAAAACAGAAAAGCATTGATTTATCTTTGGTATAATAGAAATTGATGGATAGGGAAACTGAAAATCAGAATATTTATCCGAATTGTTTCATCATGCGTTCCTGGTGAGTTCGTCAGGCAAGCAGTCCAGGACGATTTTTCCGCGCTGAGCCTCAACAAAAATACGGTGATTAATTTTTGAGTCAACAATTTTTCTCTGAGTATTCCATTCTACTGTAAAAACAGTGTAATAAAAGAAAGACTAAAAAAGCTCCAAATTTTTATCACGACGAGAATTTGTAGTACTTAAGTGCGTAGGCTGAAAGTACAACCGTAATTCCTTCATTAAAGAGAGAGTAGAAGTACTCGTATTATAAAGGTCATTATTCTCGTATCTAAGATAACAGCTTTTATGGGGGAGGGGGGAGGATTTATCTAGATCTAAAGATGATTTTGTAATATTTACCAATATTCTCCTTTGAACATTATTCTTACTTGCTTTATTTAAAAATTTGAGGAGAACTCATATGCAGAGCTTTCCTCAAAAATAAGCGCTTCCGATAGGCGTTAAAGTATGGGAACTTTGCTCTCAATAAACAGCGGATTCGATACTGGAGCGTCCCTATGACGGACTTTGATCCCCCCCCCTCCCCCGTACGCGCTTTTAAAGTGCATGCAGTGAAGATTCTACATTATAAGTTATACCGTTTCTGTTGCTCAGAGAAAAAAAACCAAACAAACAAAATGAGGCAGGAAACGGTCACAACAACAATTGCAAAATTACCTACTACGTTTAAGCGCCGCCGGCCATAAAAGCTGCACGCCAATTGGACTTAAGTATTTCTGCTAGACGGAACTATGTGCATTATGCCGTGAGCCCTGTTATGCATAAATTCTTATGGGTTTCAGGGCTCCTGTCTTAATGCAGATAGTTCCGTTCGGCAGAAATACGTCCAGTTCCAAGTTGTGAAGCAGGTCGATAAACAATTACGAATCTTTTCAAATTGTTTCAACCAGTGTAATTCATTTTTTCAAAGGACGTTGATCTCTTCCAAAGCCGTGACAGATTTATGAGTAGCTAGGCTGGAGAAACATTTCAATCATAAAACTGATTAGAGTTTCAGAAGGAACGGAACTTCTGAAATTTTTATTAATTTATGTAACTTCCTCCTCCTTACTCCATCGAAACATGCACATTGTAAAACACTAAACAAATTACAGCGATGCCAAATATTACATGAATTATTTTCTTAGCTCTGACACAATATGCAAAATCCAACTCTTCTCTTCATAAGTGAATGCAAGAGGGTAAATAAGTCGTTAAAAAATAAAAAAATCCGTGGGTACCGATAATGTAATTGGTTGAATCTGAAGTGTTTCAGTTTATACTCTATAAGATGTGACCATCCACACGAAAGTCTGAATCGTTTAAATAAAAAAAGTATTTATTTTTTTTTTACTCAATACGAAATGAAAGTACAACAGCTTGGAACTGCAATGGAAATACTTGCAGGAGCTCTCTTGCGTTTTTCGTGCTTCAAGAAAATATTTATCATGATCCTGTTCTTTACATTCGATGCACCCAAAAATAGGGCGCTCAGTTATGTACAGTACATAATTATAAATGATGGGATTATATTAGTCTTTTTAGTCATGTAGTTCGTTAGCTTATCCCTGGCAAAAATGACGACTATCCAATGCATTCTGTTTAGAAATCAATGTAACATAGTGCGCAAGATTTGAACAATTTTGAGAAGTTCTCATTTTTAAAGCATGATACTTTACAATTATCAACCCACGCTTATACATACATTTTGGGTTTGCCCATCCACGGGGGAAAAAATTAAGGAACGTAATTTTGACGCAGATTATTCAGCGCCCATGTAATTTAGAGCTAACTTTTACCATTTCCAAGTGAACTATACAATTTTCGAGACGCCTATTTGCACGAAAAAAAATGAAATTGCTGATTCAACAATTTTATTGTTAAAAAAAGTGTCCGACATGTTTCAATGTAGATTTTACAATGAGAAAATACTAATTTAATCACCCCCGTGGTTTAACTAGCTTTTCGCTATTGTAAAATATACATTTGAAACATGTCGGACATATTTCTTAACAATTTAATCGCTAAATCAGCAGTCCATTTTTTCTATGTAAATGTATCATGTGTATGTATCATGTGTACGTATCATGTGTATGTATCCTATGAATGTATTTTGAGAGATTATAACATGTCTTACAAAAAAAAAAAGCCGAAATCCACAAAATTATTTTACTTGCCTATTGCATCGTGCAGATGGAAAGGCTAATGTCGATTTCGTTTGACATTTTTGCAGTGGTGCATGCATAGCTAAACTGCGCTCCAGCTAGAATTGTATTTAGCAAATGGGTGGTTCTTATGCAAGGATTAAAAATAAACAAGTGGTACGGAATAAAACAAAATAATATGAACTGTGCAAAACGATTATCCGGATATCGGAACTTGACCGTTTTGAAAACGCCTTCAAATGCGGCGTGATACCTCACGCATTCCGGAGAGTTCAAATAATTGTATCATCGCGCCTTAAGAATGCGACGGAAAATTTAAATGGAAATAGCCTCCATGCACGCTGGCCTTGTCGATTTCGTTTGACATTTTTGCAGTGGTGAATGCATAGGTAAAGTGCGCTCCAGCTAGAATTTTATTTAGCAAATGGGTGGTTTTTATACAAGGATTAAAAATAAACAAGTGGTACGGAATAAAACAAAATAATATGAACTGTGCAAAACGATTATCCGGATATCGGAACTTGGCTATTTTGAAAACGCCTTCAAATACGGCGTGATACCTCACGTATTCCGGAGAGTTCAAATAGTTGTATCATTGCGCCTTAAGAATGTGACGGAAAATTAAAATGGAAATAGCCTCCATGCACGCTGGCCTTAAATAAAGTCCTAAGAAATTTCCTTTCCTTTGCTGTTTCAGACGACATACATGCACTCACGAGCCGGAGAACACAGGCCCGCCTCTGGACTGGAAGCCAGAGCCGGTGCCGAAAACCTCGCTGAAAAACGAGGCCTTCCACCCGTTCAAGCCCAACGAAGTGGAACGGCCCAAAATCCAGCGCCTCAATACAGAGCTGGAGCTGCCTCAGGGGGAAATCGACCAAACTACAAACTACAAGAAGGACTACCCCGAGAAGCATGCAGAACGTCAACCAAGGTAAATGTCCATAAAATTAAAGCATCAACGCCCCCTCCTCTCTCAAGAAAGCCGATTATTATTCCGTTCATACAAAATCGTTCGAAATTTTGCAATGGAAATTCCTAAAAATAGCGCCAAGTATATCTCCAGTTACAAAAATTCAAAATATTTGAAAGTGCTTCCTACATGTAAAGCACGGAAATTATAGTAAAAATATCCCTTTAACCTCCGTCGATAATAAGCAATAACGCTTATAATATTTTAGTGTTCATCAATTGTTCGATCAAGATAAGGACCAATAAGAACGAGAGGACTGCTTGTCAATCTCTCAAGAAACAAGCGTGGGATCTATTTTTGTCTTCTTCAACGAATGAGAATTAACGTTGCTCGATTCATTTTCTGTATGTGGAACCTCTACCGGAGCTCCGGGCCTTGTTTGCCTTCTATTCGACAGATAGGCAAAAAAAACTTCTTCCCGTTAAAAAAGTTGTATTCTCAAAGATGAGCCTGTGTTTGTTACGTTTTCATGGACATGAAGAGAATGGCTGCCCTGAGTGGGCCGTGATTGCACAAACAGCGAGCTTAGGGGGCCTATATTCTTACCAAACAGGCACAGCTTCTTGTACTAGAAAATTGGTGGTTTATATTGGCCCTTTGAACTCTTATGTTACAGGCAGATGTGAAGTTTTGTGGTATTAAGATATACACTTAATGTTGTGAAAATAATGTTTTTTCTTCTTTTTTGCAGATATCACATGGAGGACCATCTCCATTTGGAGGGAGAATACAAAGTCACGCGGAAACAGGAATACACAGCGACAAAGGGTGAGAGAGCACCAGTTCGTAAACCAGAGGATAATTTACGACCTGAGGGTGAGTTCGAACGCCCGAAACCTGAGAAATTTGGACCAGCAGAACGACCCAAACCATTTAAGCCCTCAGACAACTTAAAGCCTGAAGGGGAGTTTGAACGTCCTAAACCTGAAAAAGTAGGACCAGGGGAGAGGGCTCCAATTGTTAAACATCCGGATAACCTCCGGCCAGAAGGAGACTTCCAGCGGCCTGAGAAAGATCAATTTAAACCCGCTGAAAGGCCAAAACAAGTGAGGCCTTCGGACAACTTGAAACCTGAGGGTGACTTCGATCGTCCAGAAAAGGATAAGTTCCGGCCCGCTGAAAGGCCGAAACAAGTGAAACCATCTGACAATTTGAAACCTGAGGGTGACTTCGATCGTCCAGAGAAGGATAAGTTCCGACCCGCTGAAAGACCGAAGCAAGTGAAACCATCTGACAACTTAAAACCTGAGGGTGACTTCGATCGTCCAGAGAAGAATAAATTCCGGCCTGCTGAAAGACCGAAGCAAGTAAAGCCAACAGACAACTTGAAGCCTGAGGGTGAATTCGAAAGACCTAAACCTGAGACATTGGGCCCTGCAGAAAGGCCCAAACCAATAAAACCAACTGACAATCTAAAACCCGAGGGAGACTTTGAACGACCTGGAAAAGATCAGTTCAAACCAGCTGAAAGGCCAAAACAAGTCAAACCGACGGATAACTTAAAGCCTGAGGGTGAGTTTGATCGGCCGGTAAAAGAAACTGCGCCCAAAAAAGGAGAGCGGGCTCCAGTCAAACGCCCGGAAGACAACTTGAAACCCGAAGGAGAATTTTATGGAGAAAGAGTTGTGACGAAAGTGGTCAAGGGTGAAAGAGCTGAAATAAAACATCACGAGGATCATCTGAAAACGGAGGGTGAATTTTATGGTAAGTCACATGAAATTTTACTGTCCGTTTAAAACTCAGCCGAATCCCCTACAGATAGTTGTGGGTGGGAATTGGCGAGAACACAATCAAGTCCTGCATACAATTTAGGATGTAGCTTTTCATCCTTTTTTTGTGAGGTTTTTTTCCGAGAGTTGACGAAAATGGATATGGAGGGCTTGGAAGACAAGGTGCATAAGTACACTTTCTTCTATTTCAAGAAATACTTACGTGTTCAAAGTTTCAAAATTGCATGGAACCATAAGGCGGAAAAAAAATCACACTTACTTTTCAATGTTTAAAATGTTTGATGTAATTTTTTCGCAAAATATACATCAAGACTAGTTTCAGCTGACGTCATTCAAGTCTCATTTTTTTCAAAGACCGCACTAATGCACCATATCCTACAAACCGTTCATATGAGGCTGATGGCAGAAGCTCCATGAGTTAGGCAAAATTTTCGCAACACCCCTAACTTGTTTGTTTTACAATTATCATTTTTTGATCCGCTGAAATAAATTCATTCTTTCCCTCTTTTATGACACATTTGCACAAGTGTGGGATCTTGAGAATACAAAACAGTCAAGTCACTTAAACAAAAGTACCATACATTGACGAATTGTGCGAGTAAAAGATACTGTGCAAATGAGTTCATTAACTGAAGACGAGGTGTTATACCTACTTAAGAGAAACTTTTGCTTTCAGGTATCACCACGAAGCAAATAGAATTCACGGGTGAGCCTGGGGAGAGACCTAATATGATTCGTAGGAATACTTGGACAAAACTAGAGGGCGACATGGAGATCGAGACGACGAACAAAAGCGAATTCAAGAAATTCGACACAACAAGGACCACCATCATCAGAAGGCACACGGATAATCTCACCGTCGGCGAAGGAACAATACAGGTAGGACAGATAAGCAAAAAACTTTATTTGTATTTTGACCTCTTCATCGCTAAGTTACGGTGCGAAATATCTAGTGTAATATGAAGTCAGGGGAAAGTGTAACTCTATTTCTAATTCTAGTTTGTCACCTATTGATAAGAAGAAACTATGGGCCTTAAAGCGTGGCCTGCCACAGGTTATTATAATGTACAGCGTATCATCATACCGATAAAGATTCAGAGGAAACGGAAATTTACAATTAGTATCAAAATATACTAGAGACTCTAAATATTATAGGTCATTAGGACAATGAAGATAAAAACAGCTTTTTGCCTGCAGATAACACCAGATTTTGTAGCAATCTCAAGTTGCAGTGCAGTTCACGCATTTTTTTCCTTTTAATTCCGTTACTTCCAAAGTATACATAATTGTATTGCTGATAATTCATTCTTTCATTACAGATTACCTCCCAGAACCGCGAGGATTATCCCGAGAGAAGAGTTGTAAAGCCAGAAAAACCTAAAAAACGGCCAGACAATCTCAAGCCAGATGGAGGTGAATTCTACAGTGAAACCAGCTCCATGCAAGCGTTCCAAGGACAGACTGTGACATCAAGGGTAGAAATCACACGACACAAAGATAACCTAACGACTGAGGGTGATATTACGTTTATCACATCTAGTCAAACAGACTACACAGAGAAATTACCAGAAAGAGAGACACCTAAACGTCGCCGCACGTGGACAAAACAAGACGGAGAAAGGTACTTTGAGACGACGAACACTCAAGAATTTAAAACGTACGAGAATATCACTGACGTTAGGCAAACACAAAAACGACACCACGACAACTTAAAACCAGAGGGACCTTTCGAAGGAACTCCTCGTTCTAAAGATGACTTTAAACCCGTGACAGCTGAGCGGCCTGTGCAAAAGAAGCCTCGAGATAACTTAAAACCTGAGGGTGACTTCCAGCGTCCTGAAAAAGAAAAATTCAAGCCAGCAGAGCGGCCAAAACAAGTAAAGCCAACTGACAACCTCAAACCGGAAGGTGAATTCCAAAGACCGAGGAAAGAAGAGTTCAAACCATCGGAACGACCAAAACCTGTGAAACCCAATGATAATCTGAAGCCTGAGGGTGATTTTGAGCGTCCAGAAAAAGACAAATTCAAACCAGCTGACAGACCAAAACAGGTCAAACCTACGGATAATTTGAAACCTGAAGGAGATTTTGAGCGACCTGAAAAAGGACAGTTTAGACCTGCGGAGAGACCAAAGCAAGTCAAGCCCACAGACAATTTGAAACCGGAAGGTGATTTCCAAAGGCCTGAAAAAGATCAGTTCCGACCTGCAGAGAGACCAAAACAAAAGAAGCCCACTGACAATTTGAGACCTGAGGGTGATTTTGAACGTCCGGAAAAAGATAAGTTCAGACCGGCTGAAAGACCGAAGCAGGTAAAACCCACAGACAATCTGAAACCTGAAGGGGACTTCGAGCGACCTGAGAGGGAGCAGTTTAGACCCGCAGAAAGACCGAAACAAGTTAAACCCACCGACAATTTAAAACCTGAGGGTGATTTTGAAAGACCTGAAAAAGATACGTTTAAGCCTGTTGAGAGGCCTTCACCGGTCAAACCTACCGACAACTTAAAACCCGAGGGTGACTTCCAACGCCCTGAAAAAGACCAATTCAGACCCGCAGAAAGACCAAAGCAAGTTAAACCATCTGATAACTTGAAACCTGAAGGTGACTTCGAGAGACCAGAAAAAGACCAATTTAGACCTGCCGAAAGACCGAAGCAAGTCAAACCCTCTGATAATTTGAAACCTGAGGGCGATTTTGAGAGACCGGAAAAAGACCACTTTAGACCTGCCGAAAGGCCTGTTCCAGTAAAACCGTCCGACAATTTGAAGCCGGAAGGTGACTTTGAAAGACCGGAAAAACGACAGTTTAAACCCGCAGAAAGACCAAAACAGGTTAAGCCCACGGATAATTTGAAACCCGAGGGTGACTTTGAACGGCCTGAGAAAGATAAGTTCAAACCTGCCGAAAGACCAACTCCAGTTAAACCAAGTGATAATTTGAGGCCTGAAGGTGACTTCCAGCGTCCTGAAAAAGAGCAGTTCACACCTGCTGAAAGGCCAAAACAGGTAAAACCATCTGACAATTTGAAGCCAGAAGGTGAATTTGAGAGGCCCGAAAAAGATCACTTTAAGCCTGCTGAGAGACCGAAGCAAATAAAACCATCTGATAATTTAAAACCAGAGGGAGATTTTGAGAGACCTGAAAGAGAGCAATTCAAACCTGTTGAAAGACCCAAAGCTGTCAAACCATCTGATAATCTGAAGCCTGAGGGTGATTTTGATCGTCCTGTAAAGGGACAATTTACTCCAGCGGAGAGACCAAAACAGGTGAAGCCAAGTGACAATCTGCGCCCTGAAGGGGAATTTGAACGTCCTGAAAGGGACCAATTCAAACCAGCGGAAAGACCCAAGCAGGTCAAACCCACAGACAATCTGAAGCCTGAGGGTGAATTTGATAGGCCAGAAAAAGCACCATTCACTCCAGGTGAACGACCAAAAGCAGTCAAACCTAGTGATAATTTATATCCGGAAGGAGATTTTGAAAGGCCCGAAAAACCGGTCGTTGGCCCCGGTGAAAGGGCTCCGATTGTTCGTCATCCTGATAACCTATTCCCTGAAGGTGATTTTGAGCAAAGACCAAAAGACAAAGTAATTCCAAAAGGTGAACGAGCACCAGTTGTAAAACCAAAAGATAATCTGTACCCAGAGGGTGAGTTTGAAAAACGTCCAACGAACGACTTCCTCCCCAAAAAGGGTGAACGGGCCCCTATTGTTATTCCACAGGACAACTTGAAACCTGAAGGAGAGTTTGAAGGCAGACCAAAGCCCAAGGAAGGACCAACGTATGGTGAACGAGCTCCTGTGGTAAAGCCGAAGGATAACCTTTATCCGGAGGGTAAATTTGTCCGACCTGAACCAGAATACGCTCCAACTCATGGAGAGAGAGCACCGACAAAGAAATATCCTGACAATCTGAAACCTGAAGGAGATATTGACTTCCCGATCAGAGAGGCCCCAAAACCGACCAAAGGAGATCGAGCACCAGTGAAGAAGCCTAAGGATAATTTGTATCCAGAAGGTGAATTCCAAAAGCGACCAAAAGAAGAACTCCCTCGTGGTGAACGAGCACCGGTTGTGAAACCAAAAGACAATCTTTGGCCTGAGGGAGAGTTTGAAAAGCGACCAACGAATGACTTTCCTCCTAAAAAGGGGGAAAGAGCCCCGATTGTTATACCAAAAGACAATTTGAAACCAGAGGGTGAATTTGAAGGTCGACCGAAACCAAAAGACGAACCTATCTACGGAGAAAGAGCACCAGTTGTAAAGCCAAAGGACAACTTATATCCAGAAGGCAAATTCGTTCGACCAGAACCGGAATACGCTCCAACTCATGGAGAACGAGCACCCACGAAAAAATACCCTGATAATTTGAAACCCGAAGGTGATATTGATTTCCCAATGCGAGAAGCTCCAAAACCAACGAAAGGCGACCGGGCACCAGTGAAAAAGCCGAAAGATAATTTATATCCAGAAGGAGAGTTTCAGAAGCGACCAAAAGAGGAACTTCCAAGAGGTGAAAGAGCACCAGTGGTCAAACCGAAAGATAATCTTTGGCCAGAGGGCGAATTTGAAAGGCCCCCTCTGCCAGAATACTCATCTGTTAAGAGACCTGAACCATTCAAACCTTCAGATAATCTTAAACCTGAGGGTGAATTTGAGAGACCGCAGCCAAAGAAGGTTGGTCCTGGTGAACGAGCTGACATCATTAAACATCCAGATAACTTAAAACCCGAGGGTGAGTTTATTGGTAGACCAAAACAAGAACCCGTGCCGACATATGGTGAAAGAGCTCCAGTGGTAAAACCTAAAGATAATCTTTACCCTGAGGGTGATTTTGTTCGACCAGAGCCAGAAATTACGCCAACTAAAGGTGACCGAGCCCCTACCAAAAGGCATCCTGATAATTTGAAACCTGAGGGAGAATTTACTGGAAGACCGAAGGACGATTTTAAACCAACCAAAGGAGAGCGGGCGCCCACGAAAAAACCACAAGACAATCTATTCCCAGAGGGTGACTTTGAACGGCCTGAACCCGTGAAATATGGACCCGGAGAGCGGCCAAAACCAGTGAAGCCATCAGATAATCTCAAACCTGAGGGCGATTTTGAGAGACCAGTGAAAGAAGCATTCAAACCAGCAGAGAGGCCAAAGCAAGTAAAGCCTGAAGACAACTTACGTCCAGAAGGTGACTTTGAAAGACCAGTGAAACAACCAGTGGGTCCTGGTGAGCGAGCTCCAATTATCAAGCACCCGGATAACTTGAGACCAGAAGGAGATTTCGAAAGGCCAGAAAAGGATCAATTCAAACCTGCTGAGAGACCTAAACCAGTGAAGCCCACCGATAATCTGAAACCAGAGGGTGAATTTGAGAAACGCACTCCAACTAAAGTAGGGCCCGGTGAACGTGCTCCTATCATCAAGCATGAAGATAATTTACGTCCTGAGGGAGACTTTGAAAGACCTGAGAAAGAAGGATACCGACCGGCTGAAAGGCCAAAACCAATCAAGCCCTCAGATAATCTTAAGCCTGAGGGTGACTTTGATCGTCCAGTTAAAGAAAAAGTTGGACCAGGTGAACGAGCTCCAATTATTAAACATCCTGACAACCTTCGTCCAGAAGGAGACTTTGAGAGACCAGAGAAGGATCAGTTTAAACCGGCTGAACGACCAAAGCAAGTAAAGCCTACTGATAACTTGAAACCAGAGGGCGACTTTGAAAGACCTGAAAGAGAGGGATTCAAACCAGCTGAACGCCCTAAACAAGTTAAACCCTCTGATAACTTGAAACCAGAGGGAGACTTCGAAAGGCCAGAAAAGGAAAAGTTCAAACCAGCAGAGCGGCCTAAACAAGTCAAACCATCAGACAATTTAAAACCAGAGGGTGACTTTGAGAGACCTGAAAAGGAAAAGTTCAAACCAGCAGAGCGGCCTAAACAAGTCAAACCATCAGACAATTTAAAACCAGAGGGTGACTTCCAGCGACCACAGAAGGAAGAGTTCAAGCCGTCAGAAAGGCCAAAACAGGTGAAACCATCTGACAACCTAAAACCAGAAGGTGACTTTGAGCGACCAGAAAAGCAGGAATACAAACCAGTTGAAAGACCGAAACAAGTGAAACCTGTTGATAACTTAAAAACGGAGGAAGGCATAATAGAAACAGTGCGGAGCAGGGACGATTATCAAGTTGTTAAGGGTGAGCGAGTTGACATCGTAAAACACGAAGACAACTTGAGAGTCGAAGGAACATTTGAAACCCGACGCTCTCGTGATGACTATGCCGCAGTTCGAGGTGAAAGAGTTGAAATTACTCGTCATGAGGACAATTTACACTTGGAAGGAGAATTTGTTGATGTAAGGCGAAGAGATGACTACAATGTTGTACGTGGAGAAAGAACCGAAATTGTGAGACATGAAGATAATTTGATAATCGAAGGAGATTTCACAGATTCCAGGACTAGTGATGACTTTAGACCGAAACCGATAGAAAAAGTCACACCAGTCAAGCATCCGGATAATCTAAAACCAGAGGGAGACTTCGAACGGCCAGAAAAGAAGCAATTCAAACCCGCAGAGAGGCCTAAACAAGTTAAACCTACGGATAATTTACGGCCTGAAGGTAATTTTGAAAGACCGGAAAAGGATCAATTTAAACCTGCCGAAAGACCGAAGCAAGTAAAACCAACGGACAACCTTCGTCCTGAGGGAGACTTTGAAAGACCAGAAAAAGGACATTTTACACCTGCAGAGAGACCAAAACAAATTAAACCTCAAGATAATCTAAAACCGGAGGGTGACTTCGATCGACCAGTCAAAGAGAAGGTTGGACCAGGTGACAGAGCCCCTGTTGTTAAACGACCTGACAATTTGAAACCTGAGGGTGAATTTGAGCGTCCAGAAAAAGAAACCTATAAACCCGCAGAGAGGCCGAAACCAGTGAAACCAACGGACAATCTGAAACCTGAAGGAGAGTTTGAGAAACGTACACCAACTAAGGTTGGACCAGGTGAAAGAGCACCTATTGTCAAGCATGCAGATAATTTGAAACCGGAGGGCGAATTTACCAAGAGGCCGAAAGAGGTAGCTCCAGTTAAAGGTGAAAGAGCGCCCGTAGTAAAACCAAAAGATAACCTAAAAACTGAAGGTGAATTCCATGATTATAGGTCAACAGATGAGTACAAGATAGTGAAAGGAGAAAGAGCCGAGCGAGTTGCACATGAGGATAATCTGAGAATTGAAGGAGAATTTACTGAATGGAGATCAAAAGAGGATTATCAGAATGTGGTCGCTGAGCGAAGAAAAGTCATAAAACACGAGGATAACCTAAAAGTAGAGGGAGAATGGGAAATTCATCGATCGAGGGACGACTTTACAGCAACTCGCGGCGAAAGGGTCGAGGTAGTTAAACACGTCGACAACCTTCACGTTGAAGGTGAATTCATCGAGTCCAGGTCCAGAGATGATTATAAATACGTGACTACAGAAAGACCAAAGTGGGTGAAACATCCAGACAACCTGAGACCAGAGGGTGATTTTGAACGCCCAGTCCTCAAGGAAGTTGGTCCCGGTGAGCGTGTTAAACCTATCAAACCAACAGATAATCTCAAACCTGAGGGCGAATTTGACCGTCCTAAACCAACTCAGTACAGCCCTGCTGAAAAACCAAAAATTGTAAAACACCCAGATAATCTTAAACCCGAAGGAGAATTTGAGAGGCCTAAGACTCAAGGATATACACCAGGAGAAAGAGCTCCAGTCGTCAAACACCCTGATAATTTGAAGCCAGAAGGGTCATTCGACCGTCCAACGAAGGAAAAACTGGGTCCCGGAGAGAGGCCAAAACCTGTAAAACCAACAGACAATCTAAAGCCCGAAGGAGACTTTTTCAGACCAAAAGACTCCCCGATTGGTCCGGGAGAAAGAAGGCAACCAATAAGGCATCCGGACAACCTACGACCAGAGGGTGATTTTGAAAGACCATCCAAATCCCCAGTTGGACCTGGTGACCGAGCTCCGATCATCAAACATCCAGACAACTTAAAACCAGAAGGAGACTTTGAAAGGCCAACTCCGCAGAAATTTGGTCCTGGAGAACGTGCTCCTATTGTCAAACACCCCGACAACTTACGTCCGGAGGGAGACTTTGAGCGTCCAACGCCGCAAAAGGTGGGGCCAGGTGAGAGGCAGAAACCGATTCGTCATCCCGATAATTTGAAATTAGAAGGTGACTTTGAAAAGAGGACGCCTGGAAAAGTTGGACCGGGTGATAGAGCTCCAATCGTAAAACATAAGGATAACTTAAAACCAGAGGGCGAATTTCAAGGTAAACCAAAATCGAAGGATGATTTTGTGCCAACAAAAGGCGATAGAGAACCAGTGCGGAGACCAAAAGATAATTTGCAAATCGGAGGCGGAGAATTTTACGGAATTTCAACTCAAAAAACACAATACACAGCTGTTGTTGGTGAAAGAGCTGAAACGAAAAAGTATGAAGACTCCTTACAAATTGGCAATGGAAAGATGGAGGTTAAAACTACATCAAAGGAAACTTATCAAGTTCAAAAGACTGAGCAAACTCCATCTCGAGTTGTCAATAAGAGGCGTCATGTTGAGTCACAAATAACATTAGGAGATGACAAATCTACAATGGCTCAATACAACCGCAAAAATTATTCCTCTGAAAGAGATCAAACAATCGCACACAAAGAAACCAATAACACAACACATCAAAGAATCGAACGGAGAAACACATATACAGCGTCGGATAAAGAACAAACTAACCAAACCTCCATCAACAAAGTTCACTCCGATAGTCAGACTAGACTCAATGGATCCGTTCATGAGATTACAAGAACTGCTCAATCGCAGGTGAACGAGAAACATCAAGTACACCACGCAACAAGGTCAGAAGTTTCAAGAAAGGTGGAACAAAGCCGACAACACCACGAAACTCGCTCATCTCATACAGACCTCTCCCAGACACGTCAACACCATGAAACGCGCGCATCGCATACGGATCTGTCTAAATCTCTACAACAAACTAGAGAACATCACGAGACCAAAAATATGCAACAAATTCAAAGTCACCGCGAAGTCCATCCTACGCCCCACACATGCCCGGTACATCGACACCACGAAACACACGCGCAAAGCTCCAGAACGGAAAGTTCTCAGAGTATGACCTCAGAGCATCACGTGAAACAGCAACATACGGGACAACAAATATTGAGAAGTGAGACAACTACTAGACAAATCCAATCACAGCCTCGTAGGTCAGATTCAACATGGAGCGTGCAATCATCTCAATCCAATGGTTTACGATCTTCCCATGGATCGTCATCTAACATTCATTCTAGCTCTCAAATAGCGCAAACTCTAAAGCAAGACAACTCAACTAGTCAAAAAGCTCTTTCATCCGTCAGAACATCCGGACAGACCTACGTAAGTTCTCGAGAGCAAAGAGCTCAATCAATGGAATCGACCGTGCAGTCACAGAAGCAGAGTCAAATGTATTCGAGCACCAGCAAATCGATACTGAATCTTTCTGGAGGATCTGAAACTAGAAACTATGTCAGACCAAGCAATGACGAACATCAACACCATCGGAAAAATGTGATCAGCAACACCTCAGCGGACGTTCAAAATTCTCTACTCACCCGAAGATCCGATGTTAAATCGGCAGAGGCATTGCATACAATATCATCTGCTGCTGTTGAGCAACGCCGAAGTGTCTTGAATTTGGACAACCAGTTTACAGGACAAGTTAAATCAAGTGATAGACAAAGTCTGAGTTCTATGCATAAGCAAGAGAAAGGAGATCTTACGACGAAGAAATCAAGCAATTTAAACATAGGTACGACCGGTCGATTCCAAGGACAAACTGAGTCTAAAGGATACGGAAATTTCACCGCGACCGAACGCGTAACGCGAGTTAAACAGGCCAACACCTCTCATTTCACGATAGGAGAGGAATACTCTCGTCAAGATAGTGGAGTCACCCAGTATAGAAAAGAGTTCCTACCCAAAGTCCAGAAACCGTGCCCAGTACCTTTGATTACTAAGACTGAAACTGAGTACAGACATACGAGAGATACTAAAGCTCACAAGTATTACATGCCAAAACGCAGGGATTAAAAAGTATCGACTTTTCTACCCTTTGGACATGTCTCCTTTAGCATGAAAACGTTTTAGGGAGTGTAAATAAAAAATAACAATAACTCGATAGCTCCGTTGCCGGGGCCTATAAATTTTAAGACGATTTGCTTGTGCGTTTTTCAACCTCCACTATTCTGTATTACTATGATTTTCAAATGTCCGTCTAAAATTATTTTGCAATATGGATCATTATGCCTAGTCTTTGATCCTGCCTTTTGTATGTTAACATGTAATTCACTGTCTTATTTTGATTGAGAAAATATTATTTTTAATGATTATTGTTATTAATTGTATAAGAGTTTTATAAGTAGATTGATCGACTGTGATTATAATTTATATCATGATAGCCTCTCATTTCAGAGGATTCTCGGGCAGAAAATGCTGTCCCAGTAATATTTTTTTTACTGTCACACTAGTTTGGAGGTGATCATATAAAATGACATGTGATTGCTTCGACCTATCTTCCCCTCTCCGTCTATCTTCAAACTACGACTATCTTATGCACTACACGGTTACGTAGGCATACTTGTCAGCCTGCCTCTTTAAGTTCATGTTATATTTTGCCTGTAGATTTTTCCGTCCTTACCTAACTTCAAAAACCGACCCGTTTTCGTCACATGAAGCGTGTTAAGTAAGTAATCTCCAATATGATACCTAGATGAAGTTACCTTTCGGACAGTAAACGTACCTACTTGTAAGCTTAATTGATGTATGCTATTTTCCACCCTAGACCTTTTCATATTTTAGCTGAATCTATTCTTAATTTCCTCCTGAAATGTAAATATATGGATAATTTAAATATGTAGATCCAGGGGAATCATTACGCAATAATTAGAATTACATTAAACGTGGAAATGACCTCTTCATCTTATTAATCATAGAACGCAATGTCACTCAATGATTCTATAATTTTCGCATTGGCTGTGATTATTAACCATTCACAATGATTAGAAGATGCAGCAAATCCCATTATGCTTAGACAATAAAAGAGAAAACTACAAAAAAAAACAAAATATTAAAAATATAGTAAGTCGAATGATTAATAGCATTTCTTTTCTGAAAAAGGTCAAACTGATTTTTGCCTCCTGCTTCAGAGTTATTTTTTTGTAATACGCTTCCTAAAAATTTATTCAGCTTTTGCAAGAATCTTAAGTAGGTATAAGTAAAATGTGTCTTGTTAATTTATTATATCACCAAGTAAATATTAATTTTTAACCGATAATTGTATTTATGCAAAGGGTAGTGACTTACGTACGGAACTTATTCCATCTGTCCATGCAGAAAAATACCAATTGGCAGACAAATTTCAAATTTATTTGAAGAATTCTCGAGTAAAGAATATATTCTTGACAGATCCTGCCATTATACAATCTTTTGACGAAGGAGATCCAAAAGTCGTAAATGATTTCTTGAGTTTGTCATCTTAAAATTTTTATTGAACAGTTATGTTTTTTTTGTTATAAAATATAAAACATGTTAAGTAAGCATTGCTATCATTAGTCAGGTTAAATAGAGCTTAAATATTAAAAACATGTTGCCATTTTTTTGTTATCAAATACTATTGAGTTCGTGTTCAAATTGAGAACTAGGCTCACGCATAAGAAAAGTTATACAGTTTATAATGAAATTTGTTCATGGATCAAATCACGAAAGTAATACTAATCATGTAAAGACTATTGTTAGTTATTATTTAGGAATTAAGTGATGTAGCATGAATACGTAGTAGATGTAATGGATGTGATTATGAAACTTCATTCAAACTTAATTATTTTCAATTCTCCGTCTAAGAAGAGCTGGGTCTTTTCCTAGGCAAGGGGAGTAATTGAGGAGAAGTATTCCAAAGAGAATTAAAACATTTAGTTTTCTTCTAAAATCATATCATTTCTCGTACATATACCTCGAACGTAGAAAAAGGAGGACTCGCTCTCCTGCGCTCTTCCTAATTCATTAATCGCACTGAAAATCAATTCATCTTTGCGAGATGGAAAATTTAATGATCGTGGAAATTTTTTCTTTCCTATTCTTTCTCTTTTTGATCGGACAACTTCTCAAACAAAACTTATTTCATTGCTGCTGCTGATACTGCTACCTACCTACCTAACTGCTATTATTCCCACTTACTTGCTTTTTGAAATGACAGAAAAAATCGTAAGGGAATACTGTTTGATTATCTCTTGGTTGCCTTTAACTATTTTTGTGATAAGCAATTAAACTTGACAAAATATACTTTGAAAAAATGGCCTTAAGGTAGTATTTGGAAACAGATCTTATAGTGTACGTGTATTTGGATCCACGAAAATCTTCCTTTTTCTGGTTGAAAGTTGTATTTTTATAAATTATAATTTTTTAGGAATAAATTTTTTTTACGTTATCCTGCCTTCCTCTTTTTTTTCACTTTGTACGTGTTATTTTATATTAAGTTAAAATATGTGACTTATTAGGTCCAAATATATATTCTATCCTCGATTATCAGCTGTGGCTTTGACCGGAGGCACAATGGAAAATCAAAAATTACTTAAAGCGAGTAGTAAATAATGGAAAAATCCGGCCGAAAAGGCTTACATAAAAGTAATAAATAAAAAAAGACACACAATAAGAAAAAAGCATTAAATTCTTTAAAAAAATAAATATATTAATTGATCGAATAAAATAAATACATTTCAGATTTTGCCAAAGCAGTTTTCGACTTTGATCTATCAAAACCATAAACAAATAGCACTGAAGCCCGATCGTTGATCTCTCGTAAGCTTTTAGAATACCTAGGCCCATTTTTGCCGTATTTGTTACATGTTTCATAGAAACATGAAACGAGATAGTTAAGTACGTGTTTTTCAAATGGTTTATTTGTTAGAATTTTGCTGTACCTAGCTACTAAATATTCCCGGCTTATCCATTAAAGTATCTGTGAGGGTAAGGAAATCGATGGCCCATACGTACTTTGTTTCTAAAATGAGCTAGAAATAGTAGTGCCTTACTGCGAAGTATAATGTAACTATTTATGCTTCTTTAACATGTTGCCTATCCGGCTGAATCGAAGGCGAACTTCAAATGGACTTAATTTACGGAAAAGTTCCCTCGCCAGTGTTCTATTAGATTCATCGCCGCACGAAGCGAGCACGAAGCATTAATATTAATATCGCCACCTTCCGGCCAAAGTATCACAAGCGCCATGCGATGTTCAAAAATTTTCGCCGTCATTTAATTTTTTTACAGAAAAATTGTTGATTGAATCTGCTCGAAATTTTCACTAAATTTTATCGGCAGCACAAGGAAAATCCAGTGAAATTTTCGAGCAGCTTTGGTGAACAATTGTTGAAAAAATAAAATGGTGGCGGAAATTTTTTAACGTCGCATGGCGCTTGTGATACTTTGGCCGGAAGGTGACGATATGTCTCCTGAACACGGAACTATTCACGCTCTTCTGTTGGCTTGTTGTCTATCCGACAAGATTGAAGGACGAGTTCGACCCTAATAAGTCGTCTATGGGTCCCACGGAGGCTTCGAGCGAAGAATAGACTCTTTTTCATTATTGCCAGGATCCTCAACAAAGGCCGCTGATACCCCCATTGATGACGATCAGAGTAACGTCTGAGTGAAACGGATCTATCTCTCTCTGAAATCCAGTTCTTAAACATCTTTCTATAATCTGCTCCGACATTTTCTTGATACATGCGTAACACTGTACAAGAAGTTCATAACTGCAAAAAAATTTAAGGAGAAAAACCTCACCAAACGAGTATCAGAACCAGAGTGTAACAACCTAAAGTTCATCGCTTAAAAGGAAGCGAGGAATAGTGATTATCTTCGTTTTGAGCCAAAAGTAACTTATCGGCTGTATACAGGAATGCGGCGATGACGAAAATACGAACATACCATTATTACGTACAGAAAGAGTTAATATATTTCTCGAATAGATAAATACTGGTGCTCCTTTTGAGATTTGTTGCCTGCACGGCAAATCTGCAGGCAAACCAAAGATGAAATGGGCAACTCTCCGTCGTCTGCGCGCAACCGGAGTAGTCCCCGATAATTTGAAAAGTGGCGCGTTAATTTGTATATTTTGCCGCGCGCGGTACTGGAATTGGCGGGAACCAATAAGCGCGAAGTTCCCAGCTCGGAACCAATGAGAATGGAAGTTTCGTTTTTGTTTTTTATTTGGTCATTTGTTTACATTTTACAACATTTTTTGAGGTTAGGTGTCCAAAATTTTTTTAGTTACAGAGAGTTTTGAGTTACGTTACTGCAAAAAACTCTAACAACCACTGATTGCATATCAACAGCGCATGATTGCTCCTTTAAAATTTCTGTTCTTGTTTTGAAGTGTACGCAGAATGTGAGCTTACAGTGTTCGTTCTTTTTTCCCCTGCTCGAAGACCCCTGTTCGCTAGAGATTCATAGTGCTCTTATCGGGCATTCACTGTCCCTCTATCTATTATTTGCAACATGGAATCTGGGAACAACTTCGGTGTTCAAGCAACCAATGACGATGCGAGTCAGTGTAAATTATCTGCAATTAAATTAGGTTATTGGAAGGACGAGTTCTTGCAAAGCATGATTGACAGCGGTCCTCGAAGAGCCCCAGAGATCAATAGAGGATATTTTGCCAGAGTCAGAGGAGTCGGCCTGTTGATCGAGCAATTTTTTGAGGTGAGTATCTCACAGTCTCTGTTTTAGTCTCTGTTGCATCCTCAAAACAGAGAAGCTGGTAGTTACAGTGGCATAACGTCAGCAAAGCATAGAGCTGGGGGATTGTCATCTTATCAAAGTGTGCAGTAATTATAGGTATCATGTTGTTTGACGGGCTCAAGATGAAAAAAGAGACCAGGCAGCAAGAGACAGCATCATTCAGGGGAGGACTGCCGTTGTAATACTAATTGGGGTCCTCTGGAATCAGGACATGTGAAAAGTAACTACTTAAGTGCCAATTTTATGATATGGTGACAAGTATTAAGCTTTATGGTGGTAATAGTGCAGCAATTTAGCAAAAATAAAGCATAATGAGAGCAAGTGAAATGGATTTTTAGTGGAAACTCACTGGCATCTGGAGAAAGAACTAGGTATGTAACGAAAGAATTTGTGTGACAGTGGAGATTGCAAGTAAGTAGCATACCCACAGCATACATACACCATAGCATGACATCAAGTCCAGTTATGATGTTGTGTAGTTAGCGTGGGATAGGTATGTGCCAAAAAGGTCAGATGAGAGGCTCCCTAAAGAAAATTTATATTGAGTAACCCCAGTTTAAAGTCAATGGGAATGTCCCATGGAAGGATGACGGCAGGGCATTGATCAAGAGATTCAAAGATGTCAATAGCCCAATCAGGCACACAACACTTTTAGACATTTATGGCATTTAGATGTCTTTCTCTTTTTTTTTATTTACTATTTCTTTATTCTTTCAGAGAGTCGGTGGAAATGGACAAATCATCAATTTAGGATCTGGTTTCGATACCCTCTTTTGGAAATTAAAAAGCAGTAATGTACCTTTCAAAAAATTTGTGGAACTAGACTTCCCTGCTGTTACAGCAAGAAAAATATGGTCAATTAAGAAGAAACCTCTCTTGGCTAATATGATCCAAGAAGAAGGTGTGTATCCCATGTTTACTTTAATTCAATTTTCTCTTTAACTCTCTTTCGCTCTTCTAATGGAAATACCAAAATTTAACTCATTCACAGCATTCCTTTATTTTTTTCCTTTAAATTCCAACCTTCATATTTCTCGAAGCATAGGCTCAGCTCTTTACAAGGTCTTTTCTTCATGGTGCATCATCAGTAGGGATGAACGGTTCCTTTTCTTTCATATGCAGCAAATATGCCTTTTGCTTTATTGCACATCTAAAAACAGCTTTCCCTTCATAGTTTACTTGTAAAGAGCAGAGGTTAGATGAAAACGAGTTTCCTCTTTGAGTATGTAATTACAAAATTGAAATTTATGATTTTCCAAATCCTTAAGAAAAATTATCTTATTCTATTCATTTTATCAAAAAATTAAAAGGATGCCTTTTTGACACTATAAGTCTAATATCACCTCCACTGCTCCATGAAAGCATCTTACCAATCCCATTTGACTGCATGGCTTGTGCATACTATCATAACATCTCCATCTTTCATCAGGTGTCTAAAAATCAAGTCCTTTTCTGTTCCATAAAGGAAAAGAAAAAAAAAAAATCTGATTAACCAATCTATTTGTGCTTTTACTCTTTTTCCTTAGAATTTACTTGTGATCTGATTTGATTGTAGGTGAAGAAGTTATCTTCGATAAAACAAACATCCACTCAAAGAGTTACCATTTAATCGGAGTCGACTTGAGAGACGTGAAAGATTTAGATGCCAAACTCAGGAGTATCAATTTAGATTTTTCTGCACCAACTCTTTTCATATCCGAATGTGTTCTTGTCTACATAGAATATCCTTTAGCACAGAACATGTTGTCGTGGATTTCCTCAACGTTTATCTCTGCCCTTTTCATCTGCTATGATCCAGTAAGTACTCTCAATTATTTTGTGCTTTAACATGTTTGATAAATTATTTTTGTCATGCACCTTTAGGTATTTTTTCTCTTGTTTTCTTTATGATTCAATAGGATATTTCTCTTTTTTTCTTCTTTAAGTAGTGCAAGAAGTAACATGCAGAAAAACTCCAAAAGTAAATAACTAATTTTACATGATACTATCAGGTATATAATTCCATTGTGGGAAAGCCCTTTTAAATTCCTATATGTAATACTCTATCCAAAATGTTTGCAAAATCGCCATTGAATTCACTATGTGTTATTTTTACTTATCAAGCTACACTATTTGATGTTTGTATCTCCGAACGACTGTGAATCATGGATTTTCATGAGTCTGGTAACAGGTGAAGAAAACTTAATTGTCTCGTAAAAGCAAAAGAAAGTTGTCAAGTAAGCTTCCTCCAAATAATTAAGTTCATTTAAATTTTTCAGATCAACATGAGTGATAAATTTGGAGAGGTCATGATCAGTAATCTTAGAGCACAAGGATGCCACCTTGCGGGTATTGATGCTTGCACCAGTTTAGAATCCCAGAAACAGAGGTAAGTCCTCGCATGTCCATCTAAATCTATCATTTTTTAATAATTTTTAGTTGAATATAAAAGGATGGAATTCTAGCATTCCAAGGCAAAGGGAGAAAGGTAAGCTTAATCGTGCCTGTGTGAAAGTGTAAATGAGGCCTGCAACTTTGATTTGAAGTGGCTCCCCTCAATTTTGATCCTCCAAGGCCAAATATTCACTTATATTTTAAAAACACATACCATTTATCATATTAGCTTTGCTAAGAAGTGGTATCCATTTGTTACAAAGCCCTTTGGGACTCAAATTTAATGCAAAATTGCATAGCTAACAGAACTTTTCCAAAACGAAGGATATCGAATGTTGCCACTACATTTCTGAATATTAGTTGTTTTCATCTAAATTATTTTCTATAGCTGGCAAAATATTCTCTGTTTCAATTTGAGATTGATGGAAAATGTTAAGGATTCCCCCTCCTACAAAGTGGATTTGCCTTTGCCACATTTGGAGTTAAGATAGACCTTACCATTCGTAAATCCTGAGAAATAGGGGTTGTCGATGCCTATCAAAATATTCCCCAAGGAGGGTCTCGAGAAGTTAAGACAGTATTTTTATTTATTCCTTGTGGCAAACTTGGTGATGAAAGTTTTTGTTCCAAAGCTTTGTCTTGAGCCTTTGTCAGGATACAGATGAAGGACTTGCTGTTTGAGTCATCCTGTGCTGATGGACAGCCAAAGAATGAGTAGTTCTTCCTCTAAAGAACCAAAGATCCAGAATCATCAATTTTTATTAAGAAATTTTTTTTTTTTTTTTTTTTTTTTTTTTTTTTTTTCAATCCTTTTTTATAGGTATCTTAGTGCTGGCTGGGACGGTGTGGATGGAGCTGATATGTGCAGTATATATGGAGCCATTCCATATGCGGAGCGATCTGTGATAGAAAAAATAGAATTCCTTGATGAACAAGAATTACTAACGCAGCTTTTTCAACATTACTCAATTTGTTGCGCGTGGAAAGGGAAAGAACTGGAGAACATCAGCATCACATAGCAAGTAACTCACTTGCTGAATGAAATATGCTCCGAAGAGTTCCCTAAAATTCTCAAGTTCTAAATTTATTTTCTTTTTCAAAAGTTTTTACTCAGATCGTCCACCTCCTACCTCAACCACAAGTATTCCTCTTCATTCAGGATGACACCCCAGCTGCTTAAAAATTATAGTTTGAAAATGTTTTAAGCAATACACTAAAGCTGACTTGACCTCTAGGAAGCTCCCTGAAGAAAAAGACTTATCTCACTCAACAAATTTCTGTTAAAATCTCAAAGCATTAATGATACCGCAATGGTAAAAAATTGATGGTTAGATGTCAACTGATCTGTCTTTTTGCAGTAATAGCTATTATTTTTCATTAGCTTGATCAACAAAAAAAGAGGTCTTGACCTTATGTCTTTCGTTCTTCTCATTAAGTTGAAATAAAAGATTTAACTTAATTTCAGTTAGTGGTAGGGATTTAAAAAAATCTGTTTGGGAATCGAGTTTTGCTTTGCTGGGATGGTATGCTATGGTCAACAAAAAATGCCTCTGTAAGTCTCCAATTGAACATTGTTTCAGTTGGACAAATTCATCTGATGTGCCAGGGCTTCTAGGATTAATTTTTCCTCACAGTAATAAATCCTAGAGGTTGAAGTAGATTGACTGAAGCATTTTTCTGGAAAAATTGTGACCAATTAAAATTATTTGTATGTGACATCAATATCATCATCATCCGTCAATTGATTTATATTTTTATATTGGTGCTTCAAAAAGCCTCAAGTTTTTTAAGCAGAAAGTTGAAATCCGTAAGAACTTGTCATATTGATGGCCAAAGTCAGAAACCATGAAACTCCATTGCGATATTTCAAAATTACCGCTCCTATTCAATTTTTTTTAGAAAAAAGCCATTCTCATGACTTGTAAACACAATATTCTGTCAACACAGTAGCATAATTCAGACAATTTTCAAGAAATTATACTGACTTGTTTTCCAAAGAAAAAATAAATTATGAGGGAGAGTCTGCATCGTCGCAAAAGGAGATATGTGGTTTCTCACTATGGCCATCAGTTGGGCATGGTCAGTAAAATTTTCATTGTATGTCAATAAGTATCAAGCGGCTTCAGTTATTTTCTCTGTTATAAAAAAGAACAGGAATTATGAACTTCTTCAAAATCTGTCACAACAGTTATGCTGGAAGACCCCTTTAATTTCCATTTTTTGAAAGTAGCATCTTGTCCCACATGGTTTTATTCCCATGGATCTTGATTTTTTTAGAGGTTTAGCTGGTGTTTGAGGAATATTGAGGTTGCCATCAGATTTAGAGGTTTTGAATTCCTTAGCAAAATTATCCACTAAGCAAATATTTCTGAAAGTTTTAAAAAATCAATTAACTCCATTATTTTAATGTTTGGCGCTGAGCAGAGGCCAAAATAATGTTAAAATCATGAACTTATGTTGAGGGTTAAAACTCCTCAAATCATTGTCAATCTTACGTGATATTGTTATAACTTATATTTAGTGGAACTTTTTGTGCATATGAAAAATCGTTCAGCAAGTGAGAGCTTGAATTTAATTGAGGGGGTCAATGTGCAAGGGGCTGAATTCTTTTGGCATACCTAAAAGTCAAGTTTTGACTCGAAAAAATGTATTCGTAATATTGAACTTCCAATGTTTTTTTGAACTCATCATTGAAGTTCAGTGTGAACATTCATATTATGAACAGTTTCCTTATTTTTGTGCCTCCCTACAAGGTGAATGAATCATTATGATCCAAGTTATGTTGATCTTGCTCACTGATCACTTCAAGTTAATTATATGTGAATTCTTCAATGCCTTGATGACATCTGAATTTACACTATTGAATTTCCTGTAAGAGTCATCAACCAGATACCTCTGTATGGTTTTTTCTAAAAACCTTAAGTGTGGAAAGCCAGATACTCCAGGCATTTCTCCATGTTTTCCTATAATCAAGTTTCTTAAACATTTCAAGTTCTCAGGTGAAGCTTAGTTATACCTGCCAAGCCCATCTTATTTTTTTCCTTTTTAGGTCAAATTATATTACATTGCTAAAGGAGGAAGTACAGGTCAGGCTACAGAAATACTTTTTCTGTATGTAAAGTGTGCTCAGAAGAGTAAAACGTAACATTTCATCTTTAGAAGAGAAAAATTGCATTTCTGAGCAAAGATATTGAAGTGAGTTAACATGACTCACTTATTGAGATGTTTGTATATTGATAATATTTTCATCTAACTCGGAATAACTCTTCCAAAATCAACAAGGTCATTTATATCTCGTAACTTGTCAGCCGATAACATATAATTGTTGCCTTAGCCCATGGGAACTATAACTGGCCCATTGCAATATCGCCAAAAAAAACTAAGATACAGGATAAAATTGGTATGTATGTATCAAATTCTGTGTTTGGGTTGACAATGGGTCAGTCGCACCTTTTTTTTTTTTTTAAGTTCATTTCCTAAAAGCACAGAGTGAACTAAGCTCCAGGATTTTTTTCAGATTTGTTTTAATCCTTAATGGCAAAAAAACCGGGTGCCCTGTTGATGTTGGAAGCTTAAGCTTAATGTGAAGTTGGTCGAATGAACGTTGAATGTTGCGCCATGAACCCCCAATTCATCCCTGCTTCTGAGATGTAATTTCTTTGTTCACAATAATTGTTCTGCAGATACTGCTGCGCACCAAAAACAGAATCTTCATTCTCGAGTGCATTCTATACCCAAAAAGTTCATTTCTGCTGTGCGGCCTGCCTCCCACTCCCCCCCTCCCCAAGCCAATGAAATCTTTCCTGAAAAAAATAATCTTCTAATAGGGGTGCTTAGGCCTCAAATTTTTAGAGTCCTCTATAGGGACCCAATGGCATGGAACAATCTCATGAGACAACGACTTCAAACTTTTGGTTTTCTCGAACTTACCATGATCATGTCAAAATTAAGTATCAAAAATTTGCTAACCAGCTTCAGTTGGAAAAAAGGCATTGAGTTTGTTTCAGGTGAAAAATTAATGTCGTAGTTTTCCATCTTTCGTACCTATCCTATCAATAATGCCAAGAGCAGACAAATAAATTTGATCATAGTTTTCTGTGTTTCGTTAAGAAAGGTATTTTCATTTTGTGATAATCTTATTTATTTTGTAAGAAATTTTTTGTTTTCCCTTCAAATGTTGTGCATTGTCTACTCTCTCGCATAGAAACAGATGAAAGCAATCACAGCTCGATCAAACTGTAGTTTGTGAGAAAAAACTGTCATTTTTATTGGATGGAAGAGAAAAACTGCACCACAAAACTATTTTTCCATTTCTTCGAACTGCAGTGTCATTATATTATAAGCTAACAAATATTAATCACTGAAGTATTATAGATGCTCTGTAAAGGACTTCAAAAGAGATATTCATGTATGAAAACAAACTCTTTGTAATTGGTAGTCAAAATATAGCATACTTCATGATAGCTTCTCCTGAATTTAAATAAAAAGATGGCACCGGCCTCAATCGGTAACATTATATCGACGATGAAACTGCAAAAATGCATATGCAGGTCTGCGACCTTGTTAGCTTCCTGCCATACTTTATTTTTTAAGTAAAATAGAAAGCTTCTTGACACTATATCATGAAAAACTTCCGTGGTTATTTTCTTGGTGTCAAGAATATTTTGTGGAATTTTCAAGCCATAATGTTGGTTTGTTCTCCCTAAGAAAAATAAAATTGGAGTGTGGATTTTGTAACCCAGTAAAAAAAAAAATATGCGTTTTTGCAGTTTCACCATTGATATTGTTTCAATCAAACCACCTCTCAACAAGTAAGGCTCCGCTATTAACTGAATTAATTCATTCAACATGGTTTCTGGTGTAAATACAAGTGTTATGTGTCTTGGATTTCTGTTATGTATTACTTTGGCAATAGCTTTCGAATGCTCAAAAAGGGGAAAAAAACGGAGTGTATTTGTATTTCATTTCAAAAGCCAATTTACCTATGTCAGTTTTTTAACCTAATTTTTTTGAATTCTCTAATATCTGTAACTGTATTCTCCACTTTTGGTTGTTCACCTATTTTCCTATAGCTTAGCGAGATGACCAATCTTCAATCAATAACAACAACTTATTTTCCTCTCCTTTTCCCCATGTTACTCATATTTTTAATATTAGTTCATATCTGATAGATTTCAGTAAGAAGGGAGATCTTTGAAATATTGCTGATAATGCAATCAAATTTAAATTTTTTGTTTTTAGGATCAAACCAAAGACGAACAGCCAAAGACTTTCAAAAAAAAAGTTTATGATTTCATCAAGATCTTGTCCGGAGAAATGTCAAAGAGAAAATGTCTTGTCAAAGAGAATTGAATGCTTCTTAATTTTTTTGTTATCGTATAATCAGTTATAGAAATTGTGTTAGCCAATTGAACATTTTAAATCCTGTTGCATGCTGTCTTAATTTTTGTATTTTTTTTCCTACGAAATTGAAATTAGATATATTTGTGGTGAAACTAGACTAACTTCTACCTTGGTAATGCTAATATCTATAAAATCTAACAGTTATCTAAAATTTGTAGGTGTCTAAAGAAAATCATACTAATAAGTACCACTCGCTGAGAACTGTTGTTGGTTTTCCAGCCTGAAATAAAAATGTATCCGAACTTTGCATTCCTGAAATCCAGGATGTCCGCTCTTATTTTACCACCAATATACAAAGAACTATCCACCCCATCTTTATTAAAGAAAGATAAGCAAACTTTAATGCTTGATATGTATACTGAATATTCTGCTAATAGGGAAGAATAATCAAGAAAGTTTTGAAGAAATTACGTTGACTTGTTTTCCAAAGAAAAAATAAAGTACGAGATACGTGGTTTCACACTTATGCCATCGATATGTAACATCAGTAGGTATGCTTTTAATACATTTCATAATTATGATGTCTAAGTATATGATCCTATTTTGCATGCACCCAGAAACCTCATCGGGAATGAAGCTAGAGCACAACCTTACACATGACCTCCATCTTGAGTTGAAAAGTTAAGCTTAACGTTTCCATGTGCCACAGCCTTTCTAGAGTGGAAAGTAAAATTATACTACAATGTCTCCAAGTGAATGTTCAGCAAAAATGACCTTCGCTGAAAATTAATAAATGAATGAATTGTTGTATTGAAAGGTGCCTAACTCAGAAAAATGAAAAATTCGTATATTGCAGAAAAAGAGGTTTAAGGGTTTTAAGAACGTTTACCCCCCAAAATTTTATTTGTCATCTTACATTACCTAGATAGACAAGAGACTTTTTTTTTTTAACTTCAAAGTTTACTGTTGCACTAAGAAGGGACCTGAAATTTTTTATGTTTGGGTACAAGCTCTTTTTGGCAACTAAATAACATGTACCAAAAGCATTTTTTACTCATAGAATTCTCTCGGCTGAATTCAGTTTGTTTCATTTTATGGATTTTATTTTCCTAAGTTGGGTGCATTTCAAAACAAGTGATTCGCATACTATCCATGCATCCATTAAAATAATTTAAATTAGAAACAAGATCCAAATATGTGAAATCAGATTGTAGTGATAATCGCATCACAGTCTACAACTCATCAAGTGGTGCAATAATTTGTTAACGTTTTCTACATTTTTTAAGTGTACAGGTTATCTTTGACACTTTGATTTCTTCATAATAAAGTGCTTCTAATCAATCAGTGTTCATTCAATTTAAGCAGACCCCTCTTGCCTTTTCACCACTTTTCACCAATAAAAAGAACTTTCTACAATCATTTTCAACTTGGTCTTTGCCTCAAGTTTGAGTGCTTTACTTAGTTTTTCCTTTCATTATCTTATGACCGCTGAGATGGTCATTATCATTTTCATAAGATCTCAGGACTCTAGACTAGGACGTCACTACAACAAGTTTACAGTCCCTCCAAACTGTCATGGTAGAAAGAGAACAACTATGTAGGAAACTAGTGCAGCAAAGTATTGTGGGGGAGAAAGTCTCTTCAATCATAAATATTTTTTCTTCAACAACCCATCAACAGAGCTCATATGAACAATCTGCGATCAAGTCTAATACGTCACTCGCTAGTTTGATTTCTTCTAGCAGCTGAACAGAGGAGAATCCAAGTTTTCTTTACACTTGTTTTCCTAGTATCATGTCAAATCATGTTTAAACTTGAAAGCAGTATACTTTCAAGTGTTGTATTCACCTCTATTCAAATAGGACCACTGAGCAAGGTGAAAAATCAAGTGCTACAGCATATATTTCCATCAAAATGACCCTGCACACTCCTTGTGGGAATGTGTGCCCTGTTCGATTTTCCATTTTTTAATAGATCTAAACTCATCCATGGATGCTGATCTAAAGTCATCATTGTGCCAACTTCCTATGAGGCACCATTTTAGCACAGTTCGTATTTGAAATTCAGTAATTACTTGAATAAATGAAGGCAGCGAGGCAATTCAGAGTCGAAAAGATCTCTCTATCTTTCAGTACCGGCTGAAACAAGAAAAAAACAGGAAAGCCTCAGTGTATTTAGGTACCCCTACAATGCCGAGCGGTAGTCTTGTCTTAGATTCCGCAAGCCTTTTCATTTTACCGTCCAAATCAGTTCCTTTCTTCTCTTTTCCACTCTCTACCTTACCACTTACCAGCTAGAGCTTTCCCTGTTAAATTGCGGCGCTGCCTTCTTTTAATCAAGTAATTATTGAATTTTTAAAAGCAGACTGTTCCAAAATGGTGTCTTGTAGGAAGTAGGCGCAATGATGACTTTTGATCAGCATCCATAGACAAGTTTAAATCGATCAAAAATTGAAAATCGAACAGAGCATACATTCTCATAAGGAGTGTGCGGGGTCCTTTCACATGGGACACATTGAACATATCCAAAACTTCCAAAATTACCTTTCAAGTAAGAAATAAACGTCCATATTTAAAATATTGTAAGTTCGAAGTTTCTGTTTCTGAAAAAAACCGTTATAATTTAGGCCATATTAGGCATTAAAATCAACCTATGTATTGTGCAAATAACTACAGTTTAGCTTCACACACATTTTCCCACATTCCTGGTAGAAGATATCCTTGATTATCTCCAAAAAAAAATTTGGTACACAGGAAAATTTTTCCATCATAAAATATACCAAAATTACTTTGGTGCCCGATTTTACTCAAGAAGATTCCAGTTTTTCTGTTAGTTAATAAAAACAAAATGTATTATTTTCTAACTTTTATGTTGAATTTGGAAAGTTTCACTGCAACTATAATATTCTTTGTGAAATATTGACAGAGAATCACGAGTGCATTTAAATTTTGCACCATGTCTGGTAGTCTATTGAATTGATTAACTGACTTGACAATTAACAGGTTCCCTCTATACCAGAGATTGCAAAAATTATAAAATACACATGTATAAAACACAAAATTACTTTATTAAAAAAAATGTTATGTGCACATGTCTCATGATAAAAAATCAATGTTGCTTCTAGAAAAATCATTTTTTTTCTAAATATTCACCAGAGAAAAAACATAATTCAAATTCTGCAGTTCTGGTGAGTTTTTTACTCATTAAGATTGTCTCCTTCGTGCAGCCGGAGAATGATATACAAAGAGATCAGATTCGTCTGCAGAAAACTGTACATAAACAAGCTGTTGTCAGACCATAAAAAGTGTGGCTTCGGTGGTTCACTGAAAAAGAACAAAGGGAAAAAAATATTTGAATGAGGTGGAATCAATTTCAAAGAGCAAATATTACACACTGACTTCACTTTTCCATGCAACAGGCATGAGGGATGAAAATTCCGTGACTAAGCCGCTTGCTGAGGTCGAAAACAGGGCTACCCAAACCCCTAAGAATTTTAACATTGGCAACGGTAAAAAAGCATGAAAAAGTAAGGGAGAACATTAATTTTCATTCTCCTCAGCAACTTCGCCCGTCACTCACAGCAGGCATCAATTGGCAGAAAAACCCTATCTCCCAGAATCAAAGTCGGCTCATCGCACGTTTTACCGACTTTAACTGCCAGAAACAGGGCTTGCTGCCATCATGAGAGACTACATAAAAAGGTTTGCCAAGTCACAAAGTATTGTCCGACCAATCAGCATTAACAGAACTTAGCATGGCAAATTGTAAAAACAAACAGAGAAATGGAATATATGTCGGAGGCAAATATGGAGTCAAATCAGGCCTGGGCAGATACTTAAGTTTTCAATGTTTGCAAGGTTTTTCATGTTTTCACAAATGCCTCCCTAATTTTCAATATTTTGAGACCGAAAATACGTAAAAGTACAAATTGTCATTTTATTTCCCGTCCAGAAATGCTCCTCATAATTCTTCAACCGCCCAAATTGTGAAAACTTTTGATTTTACGAAATGCTGCATGTTCTGAGGTAAATTTGCATTCAAGGACTAGAAAAAACGTATTTATAGTATGTAGTACAGAACAAGTTTATAGAGGGAATTCAATTCCACATGATCAGAGACTTATTTTGTCTACAGTCGGCAAAATAATCAGAATTTCAGTCTAGGTAAGAATATTTAACTATTTGCCTAGTCATTTAACAAAATGCCTGATTCGACTATTTGCCTTCGACATATAGAACAATCTTTCCTAGAGAGCCTTTGAGAAAGGTGCCATTAATTTCTTTTTTCCTTCTTTTGTTTTTTAGAAACCCCTTTTCTTCCTATCCATTATGTGTGAAAAGACATTGATTCAAGGTGTGAGATCTCAAAATTCGCAACAGTGGAAAATAAGGACCACCATAACAGCATAGAACCTCAGGATGTTAAAGAAATTGATAAGTCAAAAGAATCCTGAAGTCTTAGTAAAAGTTGATCTCATTGCCATCCCAATCTTAAAATTTGAGATTGACTTCCTAAAATTTTAAAAAATAATTTTCTCAAAAATTGTTTTGGCAGCCAATTAAAAGAACAGACCAAGAGGTTTAAAATAATCTAAAAATTAGGTCTATAGCTGCCACAGATTGCTGAGCTTTGTATCTCTAAAATTTTAACTGTCAACCTAAAAATTGGCTGCCTTTTATTTAAGTCAATTTAGAAAATAAGTCAAAAAGCTTGCAATCACTTTTTTTTCTTCAGTAAATTACAAAACCGAACTTCATCAAAATCTGGCTAACAAGGGGAGTCTACGAAGTGACATCCTGGGATTGGGTTCATTTTGCTTGTACATGAAGAAGAGACAAATCTAAGGTTGACGTATTTTTTTTTAGCCGCCACCTCCCAACCGTTCTCGAGATATCGATTTTTAAAATTACGATTTTGGCACGTTTCCGCGCGGAGTTCCGGCGAGTCAACTGAGCGCCGGCAAGCTGCACGAAGCGCGTTTCTTATCAGCACTGCAGACCGGCCGGCGTTATCATCTGTTCCGTGGCCGAGTGGTAGAGTGTTCGCCTACCGTTCCATCGATCGCGGGTTCGAGTCCCGCTTCGCACCATAGCTTTTGGGGTCCGCCGCAATGCATTTTTACAAGTTTCCTTTATTTTTATCACACACCAAGGGGTCCGCCCCCTGGCCGCTACGCGGCACAAACCCCGGGGCGAAAAGGCCCGCTTCGCGGCAAGCGAAATCATCGAAATCGACCGTTGCCGGTTGCAAATTCAGAGTAAGGAAAAAGTCATTAAGAATATTGTGTGGTGGGAAATTTTTATTTGAAACATCATTTTATCATTCAATTCAAATTATTTACCTAGTAACCGTCAACGGTTGATTTCGATGATTTCGCTTGCCGCGAAGCGGGCCTTTTCGCCCCGAGGGTTGTGCCGCGTAGCGGCCAGGGGGCGAACCCCTTGGTTTGTGATAAAAATAAAGGAAACTTGTAAAAACGCATTGTGGCGGACCCCAAAAGCTACGGTACGAAGCGGGACTCAAACCCGCGATCGATGGAACGGTAGGCGAATACTCTACCACTCGGCCACGGAACAGATGATAACGCCGGCCGGTCTGTAGTGCTGATAAGAAACGCGCTTCGTGCAGCTTGCCGGCGCTCAGTTGACTCGCCGGAACTCCGCGCGGAAACGTGCAAAAATCGTAACTTTAAAAATCGATATCTCGAGAACGGTTGGGAGGTGGCGGCTAAAAAAAAATACGTCAACCTTAGATTTGTCTCTTCTTCATGTACAAGCAATATGAACCCAATCCCAGGATGTCACTTCGTAGACTCCCCTTGTAAGTCAAATGTTAAACGTTTTCCCTTGATTTGACGCAGAATGACTTGAAACACATCTAAGACTCTGCTAAAAGTGTCCATAAGCTTAACTACAGCCATTTAAACAAATTAACTGGAAAAGAAATTCAAGGTTTGACAGCAAAAGAACCCTGCACAGAACGGGGAGCTAAGTGGCTCCCAGTTTATTCTGATGTAACTTTAATAGATTGACAAAGAGTTCATCATCGGCACAAAGCCAAAAAATTAGCTCCTTCTAACCAGTAACGGCCAAGACATAAACGATTTAACACAGGATATTTTCTGTGCAGTGGAGGTAAATAAGCACTCTGCACCTTATTTCCTTGCCTTTGAAGAACACTTTGGCAGAGAAACACCTTTTCTCCTACAGGTAACTACGACCTCATACTGTTTCCATTCACTCTATCAGTTCTTTCATACGAACACTCAGGCCAGCTCCGGCAGTGCGATTTAAAGTCTCTCTCTTGCAACTCTCCTCTGAAATGACAAGCGGTTGCTTAAACAGAATCAGCAGATGTGGGAGGAAGGATTTAATATGGCCTTTGTAGCATACAAGCATTTAACTGCATGTGAGACCTAATCAAGAACGCCGAACAACTAGAGGAGAGAGGACTCGCAATTCTTCCGCCATGCTTTGACATGATATAAAATAGTTCCGGTTCAATCGTGAATATCTCGGCTTCTACTCATTAGAATGAGGGAATTTTTGGCTTTGTGTTACTAATGAACTTTGCGCCAATCTACTGAAGCTTCATCAAAATATACCGGGAGCCCCTAAACACCCTGTTCTGCAAGGGGTTCTTTCTTGATTTTTCTCTGACCTTACCACTGATTGTGAGTATTATTTGTTTGATTTTTCCTATTTTTACCAACTCTTCAAAAACTGTCATTTTGGTACTAGTTTCCTAAAATAAAATCATGTGGCTGTTTACCTTGCTTCGTCTCTTATTGTTGTCTTTTCCTTTGCCTTTCTTGTTTTTGTTCAGCTTTCCTTGCAAATGGAGCACTTTACTTCCTACTTTTTCCAATTTTACCCTGTTCTTCTTGGATCGTCCTTTTACTTTCAGAGTTGGTCCACTGGTTCCGCCTGCTTCATTGTCGCTCTCTGGTTCAGATTTTACCTAGAGAAGAATTTTCAAACCACAAAACTATTAGACACCTATTTTAACAATGAGTACAGTGTTTAAGAGATCAGTTCCTCCACATGGAAAATTTTTCAACACACTCTGGAGAATATTATGGTATAAAACAAATGAAACTCCCGTCAGTTTGAAAATTCATGGTTCTGCAACTGTTTTACAAGAATGATTGAGAGAGAGATTGTGAAATTCAATGTCATTTTTGGTAATTGTCATGCTGTGAAGAATGTGACTTCAAGGTGGAGAGGATGCTGCTTCATGCCAACGCCAGGTGGGTATTTTTGCCGTGATGTAGAAATGAACATTTTTTTGCTCGCCGCCACCTTTTATATTTTCTCCATGATGTATGGCTTTGACAGCTGGATTGTAAGCTTATCACATTTGCCCAAGTTGCCATCTTCAAGAAAAATTAGAGAGCCATGATTTCAAAAGTATCCATGTTAAGATATGTGAGGATTAATTACAAAAACAGGCAGGCAAATCAAATAAGATGCAAATCGAACCATTTCTTACTGGAATATGCGATATATAATAAATACACCTAGAAATAACATTTTCAAATTAATACATTAGTATGCTTTGCTGAGTAGCATTTCTGAGAAAATCTCTTAAAGGTTGCATTGGGGAGATGGTACACTAATTCCAGGATTTCCATAATTTCTTTATTTTCTGATTCTCTGACTTTTGTCTGACTGCAAAATTTTCGAATTTGCCAACTTTTCCTGATCTTTGAACAAGACTTATACCTAGGCTTTCTTCCATCATATTCAGGGTGTCTACGAAAACAGACTGACCAAAACTTAGTACTTTTACAGTGCTTTTTCAGTACATTCTCAAGAAATTCAGTACCTCCTCAATAGAAAAATTCAGTACTTTTTCAGTACCTCCTTTTGACGAAATTCGAAAAATTTCAAAAATTTGAATATCTCCCTCAAATTGAGACATTAATTACCAAAAAATTAAAACAATTTCGGACCTTTTGCAGAACTTCCGCACTTTTTCAGTACTCCCAGACTTTCTGGAAATTCCTGACTTGTAGACACCCCGCACTTAGACTTTCTTCCTTAATATTTTAAAAATAAATGTTGTCCTCTTCAAAAGCGGCAACATGTCCATCACAATTTGACTTAAAAAATAAAATCAAACCACTAAAAAAAAACGGTAATGGACTCATTCTTCACCTCAGTCTTTACTTCAGCCATCTCCTCATCATCGTTTCCATCTTCCTCCATTTTTTCAGCCTTCTCTACTTTCACCTTAGCCGGAGCTCCTCCTTCTTGGCCTGCCTTCATTGCTTTCCTTAGCTTCTTCTTCTGCATTTTCTTCAATCGAGCTTCCCTCCTCTTGACAGAGTTTGGCACAGAGCCTTCAGCAGTTTTGAGGATGGCAAAAAGTTCTTCCGCTGTTTTTGAATGTTTTGCTTCAAACCCACCAGACAAGATTATGAGATTCTGTAAATGGAGATAGGATGCAAGATATTAGAAAGGAATTAGGGACGAATATTTTAATTTTCTTACGTATGTTATATGTTTTGGCTAATTAACAGGCATTTGCAACACTCTACTAAGGTTATGATAAAATATTGACAAAGCCCTTCCAAAAAATTCGGAAATCTGGCACTAGATACACTTTTACGTTCACACAGTGATCCAATGTGTGACACTCTGCATTTTAAAATCTCCCTACCTGAGCCAAATGGAACATTTTCTTCACCCTCTTTTTTAAAAAAACTTGATCTGTAAGTAAGTATGTTCACCACAATAAAGGGAATATTACTTAAATTCTATCTTCTTGAAAACCCGTAAACTCATATCACTTAATGCGAGTCAAGTCCAGGGGACATAAATTTTAGTTGCATATAAATGACAGTTGGAAACTCTCAACACTCACCACAAAACTTTTCTTTGTTTTTCTGGGCACATAACGAACAAATTGTGGCTCAAGGCACTTCTCCAACATAAGTTTATGTACATCAGATGTATCACTGCGGGCAAGGACATCCTTTAAAATTTCAATCCATCTATCCTGTTTCAATTTATCTGTTGCTAGTCGCTGCTCTAAAATTTTTTTCCGCGCTGCTTCATCATGATTAGTTTTTTTCTTAGGCTCCTTAGTCTTCTTATCAGATTTCTCTTTCTTTCTGTAAAAATCAAATGGTCACGTTAATATCTGAGTTGAAATAGGATAGTACATCTTGGTGATGTAATTCTCCACTGAGTCAATATTGGGGTCGGTGCGAATATCGGCGTTTCTCTCATACCATTTAGCTTTAACAATGCAGCACAGGATTTTCATCTGCATTAGTTCAATTTTATCTAGATTTGACTCGACTGCACAACCCCACAATTGGCAACCGTAACTCCAAACCGGCCTCAACATTGACTTGTAGAGAAGCAACTTTAGTTGTAGGGAAAGTCGAGATTTGCGCCCCAAGAGCCACTGCATATTTGAGAATTTAAGTCGCAGTTGAGCGACCTTTTAATGATGTGAGCGCCCCATCTGAGCCTGGAATCCAGGTGGAGGCCAAGATATTTAGTGATGGTGTCGATAGGGATCTGAATTTCCCCTAAAAGTAAGGGAATGTGGGTAAACCATCTAATTGAGAAAAGAACTTCAACCGATTTACTTAGATGCATTAAGTTTAGTCTTCAACCGATTTAGACACGTTAAGTTTAGTGACAAAAATTTATGATAAACTGCTAAGGGCAAAAAAAGGAAAAGAAAAACCCCTGCATCATCGAACCCTTCTCAATATTACAAAACTATGGTATTCAACCATGCCAGTCAAGGTAGATTGACGGAACTTTCCCCACAACTCGCCCATAATTTGGTCTGAAATTTTTAAATCTTTGAAAGGGAAAAAATTAAAAGTTGAGAAATAAAAAGATGGCTTGCTCTTGAACTCACGATCGGAAAGCAGCGTGACAACACAGGTGACATTGCCCTCCCTGGTGTACTACTTCTAAGTTCAAAGGGCAACTTACATTCAAAGATGGATTTATCAAACGGTCAATTTACTACCTGCTAAGATGATGAAGATCAGTGTTCGAAACTCACCTTGGAGTTTCAGGAGTCATGTGGCGCATCCAGCTCGATTTTTAGGGGCCAAATTGACTTTTTGCCTATGGATCACGGCGCATTTAGTGACAAGTTAGATGCAACATGTTTTAGGTACATAACTAGTAGTTGTTACTTGGGGGAAATTTCGAATAATCAACAAACAAAAAACTATCATTATAATTTTTTTTTGGGGGGGGGGGATTTAAAGGGGCCATGATGGCGCAGAGCCTTCATCTTTGGGCGCCATGAACGATTTCTTAGGCGCATTTGGCGCCTGTGAGTTCCAAACACTGAGGTAGAATAGATTTCAAAGCTGGCATGAAGGAGCTGGGAATTTGAAAACTAAACCACAAAAGGGCTTTTTTTTATCGCAGATCAGGGTGGATCGCACAGGATCGGAATCCTGAGCGATCCAAAGTGTTCCAAGTGATGAAAAAATCCAAACTTGGAATTTGGTTTGATTTGTTATTGTTTTGATTTGTTGGGGACGGCAACTTCCTCGCATTACGTTAGGATCACAGTGGATCGCGAGCTCGCCCCACCTCGAAAGAGCGAGCCAGCGTTCCACCCTGATCCACCTGGAACGCTTGGATCATGGCTGAGGAACGGAATAAAAAAATACGGATGTTCATCGCGATAGACCGTGTTCCACTGCGTTCCGCATAAAAAAAGCCATAAAGGTGACTGGGGAGATAAATAGAACATCAATACTGAGAAATTGGAAAAGGAAGAAACTTATTAAGAGCGGCATTGAGCCACATTAAATGAAAATTCCTGAATAGGGGAGTTGCAACTCACATTTTTTTCGATTTCTTTGAAAGATTCTTGACACCGATAGCGCTTTTGCCAATTTTCACTTCTGTGTTGTTGACTGAGACAATCATTTTGTTTGGTCCTAGGACAAAAAAGGAAATAACACAATGAAGTTTGCTATCATACATAAAAATTGATTCAGATTGGCTGCCAGAAATTCAGCTCTTAAGAGGGCCATACTAATCAAAATTGAAAGATTGTGATCAGACAAATTTATTGAATACACAAAATAAACAGCAGATCTGGGTTCGAAAAAGGCCTGCGGGCTTCCTTCCCTCTCTAATAAAACTTGTTGAGCTACGACATTCCCCAGTCGGAGGCTTGTACTTAGACCCTCTTAAATGTTGAGTGATTAACTTACAATTAATTACGTTGCGTTTGCAAGAATTCATTTAAAATCCCTTCCTGTTAATCATTAATAACTAACTTCAGTGCAAACATGTGATGCTCATGTTCTTCGGCACATCCGTTTTCAACAATCTCATAAAATAAGAGCTTGGATGAAAGAATCATTCTTACAAAATTGAAGTTGGATTGAGGGTTGATAACGAAGATAAGTAACACAAAAATTACAGATAAATAATGTAAAAAAAAATACTCACTTGGTGAAATGGATTAACAGAGCCACGTGCAAGGCAGTAAAAAGGAAATTAGAAAGACCTAACCTAAAACAACAAATACCTCACGTTTTTCAAAATGACGTCATGAAGGATGTCAAGATTCGAGATCACGTCAATGTTCGAGATCGAGAGGCTGGCACTTGAATAATTTATAAGCTCATAATCAGTGATAATTCTCTGCTCACATACCCAATAAACTTTGAAAGCTTTTGAAATATTCTCAATATTCTCCTTATTTAATTTGAGTTAACTGATTAAAATGTGAGAGACAAAAAAAACCGGCCCTAAACATGACGTCATCCTTCTTCCCTCCTCTCTTGCCCCCTCCCGATTATTTCGGCATGCATGTTGTTTTGTTTTGCCTCCTTGGTTCAAAAATTGGAAAATGTTAAAAAGTTCAACAAAAATCATCAGAAAAGCAAGTATACCGCTCTTTATGTATATATCTCAGAGAATTCTGTAACTTTTCGTTTGCTTTTGTAGTTAATTCTATTCTCTATACGTTGCCTTGATCAGTTACATGAAATTTTCATGTTATCGCCGCTATGGATGAACACGATCTTGAATCCATCTGCCCCAAACTCCGCAACTTTGTTCAAGAGGTAGCGAACTTTAGACCTGGTAAGCGCCTATATTCTTATATCAAAATTTGTTTTTGTTATCAATAAACACCAGCATTGATTGGCTCTCGAATCATTTAACATCGTATGTGTTATCAAGATAACATTCTGAGAGATGTCGTCGTACATCTTACACTTTCTAACCCATCACACTTGCATACACAACATGTAAGGATTTGGCTCTCAAGCATTACTCTCCTAAAATCTACCGCCTATATTTCCAAGATGTATACTTTTAATACGTCCGAAAGAATTCCATCAATAATTGAGGCGGAACGTGCGAAAACTGCCGATTTCCATTTTTCCCTTCTTCAGTTTTTTTTTAGTTGGTAATACTTTTAACGAGTTGGTACAACCTTAAAAGTGATGAAAGGACTCTTTTTTGAATTAAGGTAACCCAAAGACGAGTAGTAACGCCACTTTCGTGGTTGCATCCAACTCCGCAAAGTATTATCAACTCAGAAAAACTGAAGACTGGAAAAATGGACATACCTAAGCAGTTTTCGCACATCCCAATTCAATTATGAATTTAACTAGCCACTATCTGAGGTGTCCCAAAAAGAGGATTTACTTAGATACCTACAAAATCATTGTGCATCAGCAGTGAAGTATTATAAATTTGATTATTATACGTAAGATTGCCAATAGAGCTACTTCGACCTAGTCCAGGCGATGGAACATCTGTGAACTTCCTGTTACGAATCAAACGGCTGATAGACCTGGGCATCTTGTTCACTTTTGCATTCAATTATTTAAAGGAATTGGAACCCTAAAGCCTTGTAGCAAGCATTCTTTTTTCAACAGTATATCACTGAATTCTGAAGTTGAAATTCTCTAGAATAAGGATAAAAGGGAAGCTGCCAAGATCTCCAATAATCAATGTTGTGTAATGACACTACTCTTGCTGCTAATACCTACTTTTGACTTTATTTTCAAATACTTCTACTCTATATTAGATAACATATTCCCATGACACATGTCTACTTTCTACTTCCAGGTAATATTATTTTTTAAGTAGTCGTAATATACTTAACTGGCAAAAAACACTAATCTGGGTCAGATTTTATGTACCTACATCAAAGAATTTCTTGATTTACCTTAATCTAGTGTATTTGTAAACTGCAATTTTTTGTTTCAGGAGTCAGTCTGGAGCCAGTCAAAGTCAGAAACCTACAATCTGGACGAAATTCAGCTACTATGAGTATTAAACCATGTAAAAATGACAGATTTTCTATAGTGATTCCTTATTGCAACAAACATCTGGTTTGGGATGTAATATTCTTATGTGACCGTCCAGAGTTACCTCCAGATTTTTACTTCAAGGATGGCAATTTCTTAGACAATGCTGATTGTGACTTGATCGAAAAGAAATTTCCAAGTTTGGCACAGTGGGATCACACGGATCCAAAAGCTTTATCTAACGTCATCAAGGAGTTTCTATGTCATTTTAAATTTTGTCAGGTAAATATTTTCCGGTTTATATGTAAGTTTTAATTTATCTTAAACACTTTTCATTTATTATTTTTTTTTTTTTTTGAGGGAAAGGGGAAGGGAAAATTTATCTCTGTGAACTGTTGGTGCGAACGTTCAGCAACTTCCATTTTTGCAAGCCTGCGTAGCTCTCTAAAGTCTGCGCCAAATAAATATACTTAATTTTAGAGTGCAACAGAAAATCTGCTGTATTTGCTTCTGTACTGAAAGTAAATGCAGTAATAAATTACAAATCATATAGTGGGTAGGTAGTTAAATACGTGGTAAGTAAACTTATGTAGTGTGCACTCCAGATGAGAATGAAGAATATTTTCTACTTTTGCTTCACTTTTTCATTCTACATTCTTTTGCCTAGACTTTCATCCCGTGGTTGCTGCCTGCGCTTTACTCTGCTCTTCCAAATTTTCCATAAAAACAGTTCCAAGTTCCGTTAAAAAAATTGACTCATTCAGATTTTAAGAAGAGATTCACAAGTGACTTTATAGTTAGTTATTATCCTAATATTATTGATACAGCTTAGAGACGTATTATGCCACACTGCCAACCTTCATCTCTTTCATGTTGTAGAATGTAACCATGTTTTTAAAGGCTAGGGGTATCACAATGAAAATTTGGAAATATGAAAGCAAACCCAGCCAACACAAGTGTGTTCGTACTTCCCACTTGGTTTTTTTTTTTTCTTTTCTTCTTCTTTTTGAAGTACCTAGGAAAAAACAACAGTTGATGTGTTTGAAGTGCTAAAGATCTACTCAGCATCATGTGATATGTAAATTTTGACGGTTTATCTTCCCTCAACATCTTGCATTTAAGAAAAGCCCTAATCACCCTTCACAGGATGAAGTTAGTTAAAGAAACTCATTTCTATACTTCTAAGCTGAATTTCTATCTCTTTTGGTTCTAGTTTCATTCAATTCCGGAGAATCATCGAGCTTCTTCCGAATTAGAAATGCTTCTCTCTAATGTGGACGATTTGGAGGATGTAGAAATTCTAAACGAAGTTGACTCAATCAAAGCATTGGTGGGTTTTAAATACAATGGAGGACTTCAGGGTACTTATCATAATTTTTTCATCTAATATATTTGTTAATTTAAGAATTTATCATGAACTTAAAGACTTATGCAGTAATTCTCTGTTTTAATCAAAAATTAAGTAAGTAGACCATAAAAAAAAATATCTCTAATTGACTCTCGATTAAATATGAGGAACTTTTGAAAGGCATTAGTATTTTTCCAGGATCTCGAAGGACTGACCCACCCTTTGGGATCACATGTTGATTCCTCTTTATTTCTCCAGCTGCAATATCAGTCAAGCAATTGTTGAAAAAACCAGGGGCAATAGGGAAGGTCACTAAGTAGTTGAGAAAAATTCTTGTAATGAAATTCGACTCCTCTTTACTGCTCTTTAGTGGCCAAACCGCTTTACCCAAGCATTCTATCTACTCATCTCACACTTTCTTTTATGAAGCTGGACATCCTCGGTCACAACCGACTCAGTGTGGCCTGGCAATTTGAAGTATCAAGCGTGAGGAAATGTAAAATAAACTACTTCTTCAGCCTGGTCAATATTCAAGGCCTATCAAGGATCAATGGTCCTGATTTTTCTTATAGTAAAAGTATCTGGAAAAGTTGACAAGCCTATACGTGCAATATGCAAGGCATATGAGCGTGACATTTCTCACACTAAGTGTATCTACAACAACACAACAATAGCTGTGACAAACCTATAGAAAAGTGCCAACTTGACCTATAACTTAGCCATGGCTGAACTATGAAACTTCCAAGGTTGACCTATGGTTGAATTGCATTCATACATCTAAAATACACAACAATCCTGAATTCCTCATATTTACTTTGTCATCACGTAGGCCTGTGCAAATCTCTTCCCACTCTCTTAAGCTCTTGTAACAGTTCCATTTAACTAAATTTGGTAATGGGCCTGTTGCAAACTTTTGCTAGTGTAAAAATAAGAGTTGTTACACACAGAAAGTGTCTCAAAAATCATGATAAGCGCTTCGGCAAAGTCTGAAATGCACTGTTTACTTCACAATTTGCATAAGAAATTTGCGTTTTTTTGAGCTTCCCGCTTCAACAATGATACCATAGCACAAGTGAACATTGCAGTAGAGGAGTCATTCCATCCAACCCCTACTCACAAGGATACCACGCAATATTCAACATTGCCAACGCCAATCCGCAAAAACATTTGTGACGGGAGGATGATTCTAACCACCTGATAACAATTGGCGTGTTTACATTCACATTTTTCTCGCGTTGATAGATATCCGCCTTGACTGACCTTGTGCTCTCCTCAACTTGCGCACGGTAGCGTTGGCCATGTTGAGCAGGCATTGAATGGAATGACTCCTCTAACGAAATGTTTACCTGTGCTGTAGTATCCTTTTTGAAGTAGGAAGCTTAAAAAAACGCAAATTTCTTACGCGGATTGTGAAGTCAGGAGTGCATTTCAATTTGCCAATGCACTCATCATGATTTTCGAGACATTATCTATAAGGAGCAACTCTTATTTTAGCTCTTGCAAAAGTTTGCAAGAGGCCCATTACCTCAACTTTAAAAAAATAACACATAGAAAACTCTGTTGAGGTTTATTCAGAACTAGCAAAATGCCCGTGACTGGAGTCACGGGTCTAGAGGCCGCTAAAATATCTATAACCCCGAAAAAATGGTGGTAGGGCAGCAAGACATGCTATAAAAAAAATGATAAAATCTATAGAAAAATGAGTTGAGGGGAGAGGATGATGGAGCTAGAAAAATGAGCTGGAGGGGAGGGGAAGGTAGAATAAATGCTGGCAAAAAAATTAGAACTAACCTAGCAATGATTTATTTAAAAAAAGAAAAAAATAAATTGAAATGAAACATCAGCTGATAGCAAACAAAGGTTACCAAGGAAACCAAGGAATGGAACTTTCATAAAAACGGATTAGTGGAAAACAGCGTAAGTAGGGCACCAACGTTAATTACCGTTAATAAGTAAACGGTAAGTGCGATTTAACCAAAAATCTATACAGTTCTTTATAAGACCAAAATGGACAAAATTACAAACTTTGAATAGGCTAACGGAAATCTAACGATAGTTATCGTGAACGAAAGAATTGACGACATAGGTCGGGTGACTATTATAGGTGGGATGCCTTAATGAAGCTACCAGAACGACAGCTTTCAGTCTCAACTGTTTGAATTTATATTTCTTGAATGCAGAATTTCTGAGATCTGTTTGTTCTCCATCCAGTCAATCTTCTGTTTAGTAAATGTCAGTAAATTTCATTAGAGCTGCAGACTGATTATTTTTGTTGGTGATCAGTAGATCATTACAAGTAAATTAAGAAACACCACAGTTGAAGAGGTGAGCACCATGGAGGGTCCATTAATAAAATGCTCACAATTTGCTTTAAGGAAACTGCAAACACGCTTCTACCAGAAAGCTTTTAAAAATTATAGTTTTCCAGTAGTTTTTTGGCGTTTACTATTTTGGCCAATATGGTTAAATGTCATTCTTAGGCAAGTCCACTCTTCCACGATTAGCATTGCCTCTTTTTTAAGTAATGATCCACTCATCAGAGACTACTTCTTAAATATTAGACTTGTGAGATAAGATTTTAAGACATTTTTTTTATCAATGATTATATAAGAGCTGTAGAGCAAAGCTCCGATTAATTTAATTTTATTTATCTTATTTTTTTCAGCTGATTGCAAACTTGTGTGGGCATTAAGTTTTGATGGTCGCTCAGATAGGGTCAGGTCCAGTCTTAAAGCTTATGGCAGAAGCAAACTCTGGGATGCCAGTGATAACTTCGAAGGAACTTTTTACAACAACAAAAGTGAGTAATAGTTATTTTATTAGTCCACTCTCAGTAAAAACACTAAATGTCAGGCTAGATGGGCAGATAGGATTAAACAATGAAGATTACTAGAGGCGCTGTAGCAATTTTAAAAAACAGGTATAACGTTGTCCTTTCTAGTCCTAACCAGCAGTTGTGACATTGCAGGCAGATTTTCTTCTGGTCGTATTTTAGTCAGTTTTGCTGTAGATCCAGCAGTTTTTGCAGTAAGCCTTCCAAAATGTATTTTTTAAACAGAAGTGTGGGACAAAATAAACACTTTTATCCCAAGAAGGGGGTTCAATAGGGTAGGCGAAAAAATAGCTTTTTTAGAAATCAAAACGCAACAGTGTGGAAAAGTTGTGTATATCCTTTGAAGCTCACCAAAAAGTTTTAAAAAAAAAAAAAAAAAAAAAAAAAAAAAAAAAAAAAATTGTGGGCTCTAGGCTACCATTCTTTCTACCATTTTCAAAGAGCACCATCGAATTAGCAGAAAAGGCATTAATTAGTAAGGTTATGTTTCACAAAACCTAAGCATGTAACCTCAAAAAAACACTTTTTAAGAAAAAACCTAATGGTGGACTTTGAAGGGATGCCAATACGCAATTGTTCCGCACTCCTATTACGTTTTGATTCTCAAAAAAAAAGCTGTTTTTGGCTCATCCAAGACAGATCTACACAGGTCAGTCATTCCCGGAGGTGAATTTTGAGACTCCACTGCGCAGTGACATGGATCTGGCTATTTTTGTGGCGGAAAATTAAAATGCACATTATTTCTTATGGGAGCAGCCAATGTGACATCACACTTGCTGCGGCCGAGTGAAGATCTGAGAGGGGAGTGGATTTCAAAAAAATGGGCGATGACTGACCTGTGTGGATTGATCTTGAGCTCACTTTAGGGTTGAACTCTAATAAGCTCATAATAAATTTACTCTCAAATTGTAGAAACATGGCTGGTGATCTTCTTAAAAGTACCGGAATACGTAAATACGAATACGGAATACCGTACTGAAAAGTTCAGGTCCGCATCCTGTAAAGTAAAAATGTTGAAATGTTATTTCGATTGATGTCAATGACCTTTTTTTAAAGTTTTGTACTCATTGAGGAAGATCCTGAGTGGTAGTGTAAATTTTTAAGTTAACTCACATGGGAAGATCATATTCTAGATTTTGATCCGAGTGCGGCCAGAAGTTTCTCATACAAAATTATGTAAACAGGTAGAATTCACACCATCTAGTATGGGGGATGACTCTAATTATTGGAAGGCATTTCCAGACAATATTTTTTCTCAGATTTGGGGGCCTCTTCGAAAAATATTGAAAATTATCCTTCCAACAACTGTTCTTGAACCTCTTCATGCTACAAAGTGCAAATTAAAATCGGAGGCACTCATTTCTGAGCTCCCTCAAGGTGCTTTCACATGTCTTACCAAATTGTTCATCAGGAGGCTCAATGAGTCTCCACCGGAAGCGCTCCCCATCATCACCGTAGAGCACGTTTGGTAGCAGGCTTGTTGAAAGGCCTATCAAGCTGCATCGCAGGCGACCTGACGAGTAGCTTGGCAAGACTTGTGAACCTGCCCTCAGGAGACTACTTAGTGACCTGTGAATGACATTAAATGCAGGAGCAAGTAGAAAAAAAAGTAATGGAGTTTTCTCTTTTCAGCTCTTGTCTTCGATATCTTCCTTGAAGTGAAAAATAAAATAAATCAGATTTTTGAGACGAAGCTAAGACTGATTGCAAGGCGGAAACAAATCGTTCTTCAGTATTTTGTGACCTTTAAATCATCCATCGTAGAATTTGACTCCATCGAGTACACCTTTGTTGTATTACATCTATCTCGAGATAACTTTAGTTTTTTTCTAAAAATCGATTTAAAGAACCTCCCTGAAAGAGACCCGCAGTACCGACTTATCAGCCACTACTGTTTTAAAGATATGAACTCTTTGGACTGCGTGGAATATTCCATTACGAATGTAAAGTATCATCATCAAATGCCTCCTCACATGGTTGTCGAGGCTTTCTACACCCGTTTTTTTGAAGTTTTTCATAATTTTAGAAGAAGTAGCTTACATCTGCTTGAAAAGAACTTGGATTCTCTCAGAGCGTGAATTCAATTGTGATAAATGCACCAACTTACCCATCCTCATTTCGTAATACTAAGCAGTAAGAATCATGCCTTTTTATCTGTAAAAATTTGTTGATCTATTTCATTATTTCTTCTCCAAATTCCAAGTCAATTGTGACACCCTCATCTCCTGGATCTGTTCATCACTTAATCGTTCATGAAGCTCAGAGTAATTGAGGACTGTGCCAAAAGAAGGGCGTATGTAATAGGTACAACACTTTAAAAAAACACATTTTAAAGTTTAAAATGGTAGCCCTAAGAACTGCGTGGAACTTTAACCAAAAAATCCTTAAGTTTTAAAATCCACAAATAGGTTGAAAAAAATGAAGGAAATAATTCGAAAAGAGTGTATTTTGATATATGCCCCTCTGTTGGCATGGTTTTCAATTGTCTTTATTCATAATAGCACATTTTTTAACAAAGAAATTTGAATGCACAAGTTTTGGCAACTTAAAAGAAAAAAATATTGTCAAATATTTTATATTATGAACTAGTTATGCAATTTCTTTAAAAATACCCATGTCCGAAACCCCCTCAGTTAAATTCTTAACTATGAAGTATTTCGAATGTTTAATAATGAGTTTGTCCGTTTTCTGGTGATAGGACCTAACATAATTCCTCAATGGACCACTAGACAGGGTACGAATTTCAGCATTCTGATACATGTTTCTTTAACAAAATTTCACGTAAAACACGGCGCGCACAACGAGAATTACCGAAATTAACTCCTTACGAAGATATTTAATGATTCTTGATGCGTAAATTCAAACCACCCGCTCACGAAAACTCAACGCTCTACGTGATTCACATCGCGCGCTAAACGTTATCATGACAGTCTCTGCTATATTAAAATCTGGCAACCTCAATTTTGACGCTTTGGCTCAGCCTTAGCAAATTGCTTATAGTTTGAACAACAAATGGTGGGAAATGAACATTGCTCGATTGAGAAGATTGCTGAAACCGTTGTAGTGCACGGTTTGACTCACGTAGAGCTTTGAGTTTCTTGTGAGCGGGCAGTTCAAATTCCTAGTAACCAATGTGAAATAAAAATGTTAATATCTCCATTAGGAGTTGGTTTCAGGAATTTTCGTTGCGCAAATCATATTCTACATGAAATTCTGGTTAAGAAACATGTATTAGAATGCTTAAATTCGTACCTTGTCTAGTGGTCCATTAACTATTTTTATCTCATGAACCTCAAAATCCAAAATTCCTTTGTGAACATTCTATTCAGAGAGAAGTTGTATTTGCATAGCCTAATTATCTCTAACAAAATTTGCTCAGAACATTACTTTTTATTCAACATAAAGTCCTAAATACTTGTTCTCTTTTTAGTGTATGCTTTTTTTAGTTTGATTTTTCAGAAGAAAATTGCCTGTTCTTAAATCTAAATTTATTATTGCTGCATTCCGTGACTTATACTACTATGAGATGTTGTTAAAGATTTAATTAACTGTAAGTTACAATCAACTTTTACCTCCAAATGAAACTCTATGGAAATCTTGGAGCTTCTTGAGACGTTTTAAGAGTAATCTAGTGATCAAAAATTTCTCAAGAATTTTTTCTTATTTTATTTCATTTGGTCTTTAATTTTTTTTTTTTTTAGTGTATTTTGCACAAGTTATATTCATCCATATTATACTAATTCAGTAAATAATATTAAAACAGTGCTTGTGAACCCGTCAGTCAGTTCAGTATACCGAGTCTATTATTCCCCATCTAGCTGTAAAATAATGTTAATTTTTTTTTTTTTACTTCAGTGTTCAAAACTTTGTTTTTGTTAAATTATTTTTTGAATTACCATTTCTTGTTCACCCTTCTTGAACAGTGTTTATTCTTATATTTTATAATTTTTGAGGAATAAATATTCTATTTTCCTATGAGCTTACATAATCTTATTATTATCCAGGTAAAATATTTGAAACACCCTATCACAACATTTTATGATGATAATGATTTGAAACTTTTATCTCAAGACTGTATTCGTAATCACCCTTTTAAACTCTTTTTAAACAACGGGGATTCAATGCGAAGCAACCTTCAACTATCATACATTACAAAATCTACTTTAAAAAGGGGGTCTAGGACAATTTTATGCGAAGAAAAAAGAAAAAAAGAAGCCTTTTGGCAAATTTTGTGCTTTCACTAGCACTTCAGAAATTAAGAACTTTTTATCTCAAATGGAAGGAGAGTAGAGAAAGGATCCTCTTTTTTGTTACTTTTTAATTGCGTAATTTAATTGAAGATTTTTTTTTTTCCATTTTACTTCATTGTGAATAGTTTTTCAATCCACTTTCCTTTTTCTCATCTCTTGCTGATAAAAGTGTGACAACCAGTCAATGAATTCTAATTATCAATAGCAATGAAAGGCCCATTAACTGACTTTATCAACTTATTTATCAAATTATTTCTTATCTAAGTTTTCTGCTTCGATGCAAATATTTAGACTATTTTACCTTCTCTCTATCATTAAGGTCTTGTTTGAAACCTGTTTATGCATCAAATATTTTATCAGTCAGCGTCATTTTAACATATCTCTTTAACACAATCAGTGTGAACCTTATAGGCGCTCACCACGTGTTTATTCAGTTTCACTTGCCTAGAATGAAACTCGTGCGTCTCAGTTTTTTTTTTTTTTTTTTGAGTTGACTTGTACCCATCAGTGAAGTTTTGAGTGATCCATTTTTCAGCCTATGAAGCGTCGGAAAAAGGGTTTTTCAATTTTGAATTATAATGGGGTCTTTGATAAGGTTGAATAATTACATTGTGAAACGATTTCGACACACAAGTGCAAATCCAAAATATGTGAGTATTCTTTTATCTTTATTTTTTCTCAGTTTTGTTCACTTTTTTTTTTTTTTAAAAAAAATTGCAGTTTTTGAAAAAACTCCTGGAGACCAATTTGTGTTTAATAATTGTTTCCTTTTGCACAGGGTGTCCCAAAAAGTGAGTTAAACATTCCTCCTACTCATTTTAGGTCAAATGAAGTGGAGAACTGCAGGGACAGAAAGGGAATCACCCTGAGGAATCAGAATTACATCATTTCGAAGCCTTCTCTGGTACCCCTAAGGTGCTAAAAGAGAGGTCTTGACTTTGAAAAGCAGGGTTTCTGTCACAATTTTAAAATTATTTAATCAAAAGCAGAAAGTACAGAGAATTTTAACCCATGTCGACTTCTAAAAGTCAAAAATTGGCTCATTCCAGTCCAAAATATTGACCCCTAAAGTCAGGAGACAGAGCCCCCTCATTTAACTGCTAGGTAATTGAATTAACTCGAAGGCCTGGAAATTGGGTTTTTTCTTAGGTAATTAACCGCGAGGAATCCGATTGTCCCGAAACCGCAGGAGCCTTGCTGACAGAGTAGAAGAGGGGTACAAGGTGAAACTTTGTCTACTTGTCTACAAGGTGCTTTTCAATCTGCTCCACTCATGATCATGTCAATTTTTTCAGGCTGGAAAAGTTATAGCTATTCGCCGAGAAGACCAGTCAGTATGGGAACGTCGAGCCCCTCTTGCCCCCAACAACGTCAGTCGCTTGACTCGTTTAGGAATCAAAGTCATCGTACAACCATCAAACAGAAGGGCATATCCTATGCAGGTAGGGTTCCAAATATGTATCGTTTTCCTTTGTCTACTTACCTACTCTAACAGCAAAAAAATTTCATGGCAAACAGTGTATTTTGAGTATGCATCAAATAGCTGAATCAGCATTTTTTCACTACCAATGCAAATTATTCATAGTTGTGTGCACATCCGTGAATAATATAAATATTTTAAAATCATCACCATTTGTCACTGTATATTTTTGCGTCTCCTGAGCCACAACATCATTGCATTTTTGGAGTTTTGAGAAATTTCAAATAACAAAAACATTGTAAGATAAGTAGTTGCACTGAATTTTCCATCATGCCAACCTTAGGCTTCATAATTTACAGAGAAGGGGAGAACAGTATCTAATTACAAATTTTGCTCCAATATGTAAGAACAAATGTAGTGGAAACACAATTTGGGCGAGGCTGCACACTACCCTCAATGCCTCCTGTGTCTATGGTATGATGATACAAACAGATAATACGATATGGCAAAGGAAAAAAAAACGTCTCACAATCAGTATTAGAGACTTTTTATTTTTTCATTTTGTGGACTTTCAAAAATTAGCAATTAAACTGCAGGCAATGCAGCTATGGTGAAGTTTTTGCAACCTGTAGAGAATGTTATTCTTATCATTTGCTGTAGCTTCAAGAATTTTTCAAACTGATGGTAAAACTAAAAAGAAAAAAGAAAAGAAAAACCAGGAATCTTTTGCAAGATCTTAAGATTAACTTCATTTCTATTTTTCATTCCCTCTAATCTTGAGCTTTGACTTGGTTGCCATTTAGGCTTATGCAAATGCAGGAGCAATCATTCAGGAGGATATATCAGAAGCAAGTGTCATCTTTGGTGTGAAGCAAGTCCCTGTTGACTTGCTATTACCTGACAAAACTTACTGCATGTTCTCACATACGATCAAAGCTCAACAGGACAACATGCCTCTTCTTGATGCAGCTTTGATGAAGGTCAGTTACTTACTTCAGTTTTTTACGTATTGCATCAGAAAAACATACCCTTTGATGAGCAAATTTTTAGGGACAAAAAACCTTAGAATCAACGCAAATAGAATAATTTAGAGATTAAAGGAGAAATAAAATAGAATTAATCTGAATTTAGTGTCAGTCCTACGATTATCACAAATATTTTACTTTATGTACCAATAATTTTTACTAATCCTTTGTTTCTTAATCGGGAACTACGTGATTGACACTTACTTTCTTTTTCGCCCGATGAATTTTTTTCTCGGTTGTCACTCTTACACGATGGCCATTTCGACTTCTGTAGAAGTCATCATCAGGTACTTAAAACTATGTACAACGAAAATAAAAATAAAAACCGAAGCTAAAAACGTTAAAATTCAACGTATTATCGCCGGCGACGCGTCGCGATACTGATATTTTCGTTGTAGTTTTAAGTACCTGATGATGACTTCTACAGAAGTCGAAATGGCCATCGTGNTTTTCGTTGTAGTTTTAAGTACCTGATGATGACTTCTACAGAAGTCAAAATGGCCATCGTGTAAGAGTGACAACCGAGAAAAAAATTCATCGGGCGAAAAATAATTTTTACTTTTTTGATGAAGTTAGGCAGGAGTTTTTAAATTACATATCTTTGTCCTTAACATTTTTTTTTATCTAATGAAAGGGTACAAAGGTCTCGAAGAAAAGGGTAAGAAAGGTCTTACTCCATCGTTAGACCAAAAAAGCAGCATGCTAATGGAACACTACCTAGCAGAAATTTTTCTCATCGACTGTTTTTTGTTGTGTTGAAAAACACATTTATTAGTGACCAAAAAAGATGAAGTATTTAAGGCTATTCATAATGTAAAAGAGGCTGAGAACTTATTTATATGTTGTGTCTGACGTTTTAAATGAGGTCATCAAAAGTTGTAAATTGATCTCGCAAATAATCAGTGTGTACCTTTATCCTTACTTTAGGCATCTAGTTTTTTCTTCCCTCTTTTCACATTTTGTGAATTCCGCATCTTCTAATTCAATGAATATTAGTAATTTAAAAGTAAATTTTTCCGTTTGTATCTTCAACAGAACATAAGACTCATTGATTATGAGAAACTTGTCGATGACTCAGGACAGAGAGTCGTTGCTTTTGGCAAATATGCTGGTGTTGCTGGTATGGTGAACATTCTACATGGTTTAGGATTACGACTCTTGGCACTTGGTCATCACACTCCATTCATGGTATTTTTTTTTATCTATTTTCTAAGGAGATATTTGTGGGAAAAACTTGATTTTAAGTCACCATAGTCTAATGAAAAAATTATCAATTAAAATCACCAAAAACCAACGATGTTATTTATTTCTGATGCACAGAAGTATTTTGGTCAAGCTAAGTACCAATTTGAAATAGCGCACTTGCTGCCGTCAGTCTTTTGTGTTTTAAAAAACACACATCAAATAAAATTATGAATCCTAATTTTCAAATTTTGAACACATGTAACTTTACTTAATAACTTTCCAAGAATTAATATGAAACAAAAAATAAGAGAACAGACAATCCCAGATTTTTTTTTGGAGGATGAGAGGAGACTTAGCCCCAAACACAATTTTTTTTTTTTTTAACTTTATTGATACGATTATTACAAATCATGAGAAAATGCATTAATTAATCTTCCGGAGGGAGTGATTTTTAGTAGGATTTAATTAAACTCAAATACATCTTCAACACATTACTCAATATATTATTGCTTAAAAAGTTTCAACTTAATATCTCTTCAGCTTTGTAGGAAGCTTGTCTGGCTCCTGGGTGCCCAAAGTGGTTTTGAGATTTTTGTTGCCTAATATTCAAATTAGCAAAAATGAGACCATTAATTGCCCAAGCTCATTGTAGACTAAACCTCTACAAAAAGAGAGGTTAAATTGAGCTATTTTTTTTCTACAGAATTTAATGTTATATTCTCTTTAGCACATAGGGCCTCCTCACAATTACCGGAATTCAATGATGGCACGGCAAGCCATTAGGGATGCTGGATATGAAATTGCCTTGGGAATGATGCCAAAATCAATTGGACCTCTAACTTTTGTTTTTACAGGGTAAATATAATTAAAATTTCTTGATTTAATCAAAAATATGTTTTGAAAGTAGGAAAACTTTAACAGAAGACAGAACACCACATAATTGACCAGTATGGAAAGGATTGAAAAACTGATGGTAATCAGGTGTATTATCCCACCATGGCCATCTTCTTGGTACCAACAAGACAAAATTAGGAAGACAGAGGAGTCTAAAAGAGTAATGTTTGGAATCTAGATCCTACTAGCACCAAAAATGTTGCATACAATAAGGCTCTAGGTACATGAACAGACATTGGAGAGATTATGGTGATGAAGATGAGAATGATTCATTCAAATCTCTGTATTCTGTTTATTAAAACATACCTAAAATAAAATAAAACTAATTATGATAACTTAAAAATGCAATTTAATCCTTATTGATGATTGGTATTTGCTGATATGTATTGTTTTCCACTCATTTTGTTTTGGATTTACAGATCTGGAAACGTCTCTCAAGGAGCACAAGAGGTCTTTCAAGACTTACCATATGAATACGTACCTCCAGACATGCTTCAAAAAGTTGCGGAGCATGGAGGTATAATTTATATTTTATTCATTTTTTTTATACATAAATTCTATGTAAGTGCCGTAGGTAACTTTCTTTATTTCCTTGCGAATTCAATTTTTTATACTACATCTTACAGGGTGGACATTTCTTGAAAAGTCAGAGAAAACCTGGAAAAGTCAGGAAATCTCACCCAACCCTTGAAAGATGAGTGAGAAGTCAATTAATTTCGCTGCTAAGGCTTAAAATCCTTTCTGCGGGCCAAAACATTTAATCATTATCAACTTCTAGAAATTTAAAAAAAAAAAATGGAAACGGAAAAAATTTTTCAGAGGAACCATGCCTGAAAACATTGTAAAGACATGGAGAAGTCAAGGAACTTAGTATTCAAGAATACTCGTCACCCTGTTTTAAAAATTTGCAGAAAATAATGAGATGAGTTAACTGAAAAAATCAATTTGTTTGCATACGTTTATCATAATAAAATTTAACAAGCAATCTAAAACAGTCCTACGCTTCTTGTTGTTAAAACTTATTATTTGCAAGAACATAATCAAAATTTCTCTACCTTCAAAATACATTCAAGTAAATACGCCGCTCAAGTATTATGTATTCACATCCAAGTTTCTCATAGATAAAAAAATGTAAGCAAATGCACACATTCTGTAAGTATGCGGTTTGTTTACTTCTTTCGCATTTTAATTATTTTTATTTTCTCATTTTTACTTCTACCATTTCTTCAAGTGGGGTCATTTGAGTCATTGTATGTTGAGACAAAAGTCAAGTATTGATTCTGTCACTACTCATCAGTATTGTCCTCTGACTGCATGTTGAGTTTGACCTGTTGAGTGGTGCTGAATTAGAGATTGACGTGTCTCAACATATTACTCAGCTCTCTGTTTATTTTACTCATTTAAACAGTACAAGTTCATCATCAAATTTCAAAAAATCATATCAATTTACTCTCTTGGAAAAAATGATCTTTGAAACATGTGTCAATGTTTTTTTTTTAGTGTCACTTAAGGCAAAATTTCAGATCCCACAACTTTTATTAATTATGCTTGTTTTTCTATTGATTTAATTCCTCAGTTAATACAAAAATATATGGCTGTGAAGTTCGACGAAGACATTATTTGGAAAGGAAAGATGGAGGTGGCTTTGACCGAGAGGAGTATGAAGGAAATCCATCTCTCTACACGTCAACTTTCAGCAAGAAGGTAGATATTTTCTGAAAAGCTCAATCAAACCCTAATTTATCCCTCACCATTTAACCATTGTGGTTAATGAAGAATTTCCCCAAATTTTTTAATGAATCGTCAATGTAAAAAATTATTAAATCGTGACAGAACACAAGTAGCATGAAATAATTATGAAAGAAGTATTTTCAGCCTCGATCAGTTCAGAAGAAATATTTTCATCTTACGTTTTTCCTGTTAAGGCGGATGTGATTTGTATGTTTATCAATGTCCAAGTGTCCACTTAAGGTATAGTTCATCATTCAATTCGGTTGAAGGGAATTGAGTTCGTAGAAAGTGCAGGGTGTTTACAGGTCGAGGAAACCGGTAAAACCAGAAATTTCATCCGGTCAGGGAGATCGGTGAAAAGTTATGGAACTTCATAAAGAAGACTGGAAATTAGAAAAATCTTGAAATTTGCAATCTGAACAAACGTCCTTGGAATTAAACTGAAGCCCAGTCTTGTCTGAGGCTCACATTTAGAATAGTGAGGAGAGAAATTATTTCCATTAAGGAATTTTAATTTTAGTTAATTAAATGATTCACAACTGAAGAAGAAAGGCTTACATGTCTCTATTATTTGCAGTGAAATTAACGCCAAAAATTGTTCATTTTCAGTTCTTCGCATATAAATTGTCCGCGTAAGAAACCAGGGAATTTTGATCATTTTGGTCAGGGAAAACCTGGAGAAGTCAAGAAATTGTTTTCCTTCAAGTCTGCAGACACCCTAAAGCGTCCTTAATGAACATAGAAGAGAGCACGTTTTCTGCTGGTTTCTTTGACTTTAGTGGCAGCTTTGAAAATCTTAAGCGTAAACTATTACTTATGTTGTCACTTGAAAAAATTCCTTCGGAAAGTTACATTTGGTGTCTGGTTACCACGGGATTACCCTTACCTCTTATCTCTTTGATATAGATTATTATTTTTTGTCTGTAAACCATTTTAAGCTTTGTTCTTTTTCTTCTTCCATAGATTGCCCCCTTTGCGTCTGTCATAATAAATGGGATTTACTGGGCAGTTGACAGCCCCAAGTTACTGACCTTACCGGATGCCAAAGTTCTTCTGAGGCAAATGAATTTACCTTGGTTACCGTCTTCAGTTGGAGCTCCTGCTCTACCTCATAGGCTACTGGGAATTTGTGATATTTCTGCAGATCCGGGTGGCTCAATCGAGTTCATGAATGAATGCACAACCATTGATAATCCATTTTGTCTGTATGATGCCGATCAAAACAAAGACACCAAAAGGTATTTACAAAATATTACAATATTAAAAAAAAAAAAAAAATTAATAGAAATAGGTTGCCACGTGAAAGAAAATGAAAGATGTACTGAAAACTGTGCCAGAACATGTTTATATTTATTCAATAAAAACTTAGAGGACCAAATTTTATCATCGCTACATCACCATTAGGATCACAAAGTCAAAATCTCTCTGCCATTCAAGAATAAATACTCTGAACAGTTTTTAATCGCCTTTTTTTTCTCTTCTTTTTTTACTTGCATTGTATCAAACCAGGAGATTATTTCTTCGTACTTCAACATAGTGATCTCTTTGATAGTCATGGTTACTAAATGTTTTATTTTAAAAATTTAGTTTCCGGGGACCAGGTGTTCTAGTCTGCTCTATCGATAATATGCCAACACAACTACCAATGGAAGCGACTGATTTCTTTGGAAGCCTGGTTCTACCATATGCATTAGACATCATTCAGTCTGATGCCACAAAACCTTTGGAGGAACATTCATTTATACCATCAGTTCATGCTGTAAGCTTATTTATATTCTTAACTATTTTCCTTTTAATTTCCTCTATAATCTTTCTTTTATCATTGTGGTCACATGATCCAGATGATAGGCAATCATTTAAACTGCCTTGTCAAAATAATGTTGGTGTCATGTTGCTAAATTTATGGTTCATAATTAAACTTGACCCATCACTACCTTTTCACAAGCTACTCTCCAAGTGTTTGTCCACATGAAGTTGTCATCATGATAGTTAAAGGCTCAAATGTTAATGTTATTGAGGGGCTAATGAACAATATCTCTTAATAGATAGGATATGTGGATGAGGCCCATATATTTGTCTTGAGTAGCTGTGTTATCTCTCGTCTGATTACAACAACTTGTTTACATTTTGGCACTTGTGGCCAAGTAGTCCTCAAGAAATTCAAGTTTTAATCGAAAGTGCTCAGTTTGATTTGCACTCATCCTAATGAGGGAAGTATATTTTTCTTCGACCAGTTATTGGAGGCATTTTTCTCAAGACAACGAAAATTATCCATTGTGAGATCTGCCTTCTGGGTGAAACCAACCATACTGAACAGTTAATGAGTCTAGAGACCAAGGTTGCAACCAGATATTCTTTATTTTCTTTTCAAAAATGGATTTGCTCTTACATGTTTTACCAATCACAAATTCACGTGAATCTTGACTGATGGGGACTGATCGTGGTACACAGAATGAATCTGGACGCTGAAAGAGGCTCCAAGCAATTATTTTAATTATCGTAAATGTTTTTACTTTTTATTCTAAGTTATCAAATTTCGACGTCACAGTCGATTTTTTTCTTTTCCAAGTTTAAGTTTCATCAAACCACAGAGTTTTAAACAAAGAGAAACTGCAGCCTAACCAAAAGGTAGAAACCCAAAATCTAGTAAGCACCAGTAGCTGTCGCTAAGATTGTGCATGTGCATGTTGTGAGATTGTGAATGTGAGTTGTGTATCCAACGGCCTGACCCAGAAAGTCACATCTCCGATGCATCACTCAAAGGCTTTTGCTTCATGCATTTTTATACATTGTCCAAATTTTGCTCTTATTTTCATGATATGAATCATATTCTCTTGCCACTGAATTTTTGTTATATGAGAGACACCGTTACTAATTCTTAGCAACATTTGATGGTGCTTATTAGATTTTGAATGTCCTCTTTTCAATTGCATCATTCCTGACTATAAAAAATTGTCACTTCAATTATTTTTTTCTTCGATTGCATCTGAAATGGATATTATCTCAGCTCATTCAGTGGAAAAATTGCACTTTCTTTTCCAGGCAATCATTACTAGCAATGGAAAATTAACGCCTAATTTTGAGTACATTCAAGATCTCCGCAATATGAATTCGTAAGTATTTGTTTTGTCTCTACCTTCAGGAGCGATATCTTAAAAGCTGATGAAAATCAAATAGGAATAAATGTGTATGCAACCTCTTCACCAAAATAACCTTACTGAATGCTACACTAAATTAATGTTGAAAAAAAATAAAATTTCAAATGAAGTGATGCAGTGCCATGTATTTGAGCTCATCAATTGAGGTATTTTGGTAATTTTTTTAGTACCCTGTTTTGAGCTTGGCTAAATCAGATATTTTTCCCGAAGTAAAGTTATGCAGATGAAAATATAGCTATTTCTTGTAAAAGTTGAATCTTGATAAAAAATTTGATTATTTTGAACTTGATCACAAAGATGATATTGATGACTGAAGTAAAAGATTGCAACGTTTCAAAATCTCTGACCATGTCTTCTTTTTTGAATAGAAAACTCCTTGAAATTTTCATAGAATATTTTTGGATAAGTAAAGAAAATTCACAGGTAATTTCAAAGAAAATTTCTTATTAATTATGAAAGGAATCAGTTGTGAGTAGAGATTTTCAACTCTGCAATCAAAGGTAGGCCATTGTGGACTTCAGTTATCTTAATGTGAAAACTGTGATGGTACATTAATGTCTCATAAAGTATGACCACTTTGACATCCCATCCCATGTAAATTTTTATCTTACAAAAATGAAAGATTTTTTCTGTCGTGTCCCATTTTGAGTTCGTTTTATCTTCCTTTGTAATCCTCACTTTTGGTTTTTGTGAAAAGTAATTACAGGAGGCTCTTGCACACTGTGCCAAGCCTTTCAATTTTGAATAAATATCTTCATATCCATAAAAAATTGAAACTTATATCCATTCACCTAAGTATCAAAAGTCTAAAATCTTCCCAACCAATGTGTTTTTGTATTATCTCTTGCTGCTATGCTAATGACGCGTGCATTCTGTTTTAAGGGCCAATCGCCATAAGGAAAGTGGCTCTTCAGGGACAGAAAAACGCTGCTTGGTATTAGGTGCTGGTCTTGTCAGCGAACCTTTGATAGAGTTTTTACACCGTGATCCATCCCTCTCAATAACTTTAGGTAACTTACACATTAATCTTCCTTACATTTCATTAATTTGTATTAATCATACCAGAAAAATTCAAAATTATCAATTCCAAATCTATGAGCAGCCTCAGGAAATTCCAGTTTGCCATTTGCATCTCAGCATGTTTTTGAGGTACTTTATTTCTTTAAGTACCCTTGAAATTATTCAGTGGGATCAAATGAAACTGAAGCTGAAACGTTAGCATTCCATAAAGAAGTCAATTACATTCCTCAGCAAAGAGTCCACCTGATGTTGTCCATTCACCCTCAGGTATTATCAAAATGAAAGGATAAGAAGGTAGACTCTCATGACTTTTGGCAAGAGGGGAATAGATTATTAAGAATTTTGCCATCGCCCATTACCTCAGAAAATTTTCAAACTATGCCATCGCCTTAAGAGGCTTATACTTGGTCTAGTATGTAGACAAAGTTGTAGTATGTAGTATGTTGCTTATGTTAGCAGTAGGAGCCCTAAAGATGAAATAGAGTTCCATTAAGTTAAGAAGCTGGCATTGAAATCAATATCAGCGAATAGTATTAGAAACCATTGAAATTGTAGATCTTAGGTTAAAATTAAAGCCAAATTCATACTTTTCAACCTTTCATTCAACTCTTCCTCAGCTTTTGTTGAATGAAAAGTTAAATCGTGTGATACTGACTTGAAAACACAACACTTTGATGGGAAGTTGAACAATTTCCAATCAGCAGTGTCATATGGTGGCCAATGTGATGAATTTTTACTCCAATTGATGCTAACATTGATTTTATCTTAATTGTATCAGGTTCCTTACTCAAAGAGGATGCTGATTCTTTGGCGAATAAATACGACCGAGTTGAACCTGTTGCAATCAGTGTCACGGATCAGATGCAGCACCTTGCCAATCTTATAGATTCTGCCGATATAGTTGTCAGTCTCCTCCCATATTCTCTTCATCATGTTGTTGCCGAATGTTGTATCAATTCCAAAGTTAATATGGTCACAGCATCGTACTGCAATCCAGACATGCAGGCCTTACACAATAGGTAAGCACAGAGAGTTATTTGAACAACTTCCAGTCTTTGAGTTCTCGGTCTCGCAATAATAGCGAAATGACAACTCATTTTTTGCTTTTTTCTGGTTGAAAATGAGACTGTAATTATATCGAAACGTCTTTGTTTTTTTATTTTTTTATCATTTGTAGTTTTCACAGCCTTTCCCCAGATTATGTTGTTATTTTATTGTGTGATTTGGCTGATTAGGTCGTTCTGCATTCTATCAGTCTTGAGTGTAACATCATGAATTCTTGTTCTGTAAAAATCATAGGCACAATCAAGGAATTTTAAGTGTTGCAAGAAAGCGAAGAAGAACAGAAAATATTCCCTCTCCTCAACCATTCATCTTCTTTTCTTGCTTCAAGCCAAATTTTTTTGAAATATTCTGCAGGTCCTAAACGTTCCATTAGATCAGATACCTATCCATAAGGCTTTTAAAAAAATGGATCACTTATTATAATATATATCCTCATCAAAATTTCATATCGATAACAATTTTCAAAATAAAAATTATTGAAAGTAACTCTTAACCAAGATATTGACATCTTTTCTTGCGTAAACTTAAACCTCTCCCTCATAAAAAAACGTAATCTATTTGAGCTAAATTGCACACCAAATGTGACCAGAACAGTCTCTGCAGTATGAAAATACGGTAACCTCAATAACGGCACTTCCGTTTAGCTGTTGCTTTATGTTCACACTTGAAATAACACAGAACAGGAGATAACACTGCCCTCAGAAACCTACCAGAACCGTTGTAGTGTGCAGTATGAGTCAATCTCATCTTTCACTCATGTTTTCACTAAAGACAATCTGTAGAGCTGATTGTTCCTCTACATTGTAGCCTTTAAAAAATAATTTTCAAATTGAAACGAATATCAGGCATTTTTGCATGCCTTGAAAGTTATGATTGTCAATTTTTAGTCCTTGAAAGAGTTCTAAAATGCCAAAATGCTCTGATCATCAACAACCTAGGTTCAATTCTTCTCTAAAAGTTCTCTGAGGCAAGAAAGTCCAAATTGAAAATAAAGTAGCTGTAAACCGTTTTTAATCAAAGTGATTTCGTTAAAGTGGCATCTTCTTGATTTGACTTTTTCAGAGCTGTCGAGGCAGGAGTGACAATCGTCAATGAAGTCGGTCTTGATCCTGGCTTGGACCATTTGCTTGCCATGGAATGTATTGACTCCATTCATGAGTTTGGTGGCAAAGTGGACTCCTTTATTTCCTATTGTGGTGGGTTACCAGCGCCTGAATGTTCAGACAATGCTCTCCGTTACAAATTTTCATGGTCACCTCATGGTGTTCTTCTCAATACTCTTGCCAATGCAAAATACTTATCAGACTCAAAGGTAACAATCAATAATTTTTAACTTCCTTAATAGTGTACTAGTGATCATGGTACAGTGGTCTTGAGAAAAGCTATTAAAGAGAGAAGGTGATCTTGATCCACTGGGATGATGTCTGCAAGGTGTGTCCCTTGTGATTGAGGGGAGTGTGTACACTGCTTTTACTCGTGCGAGCCTTGAGCTTACCAGTAACAATGGGCCCCATGCCTTAAATATCATAGTTATTTGATTTTTAAAATAGTTTTAATGCAGTTAAGCGTAGCGAATGATTGTTAATAAACATCATGGCTCTGTATAGTTTCACGATAATAAAAAAAAAAGGAATAAGCCATTGTAATGCTTGATAACATTTGTTCAAATTTCTTTCGCAAAACTAGTCATTATTTTAACTGAAAAAGAATAAATTCAATGCTACTCCTTTTCTTTCTATTACATGTTTTTTCTCTCAATTTTTCAACAATACATTGTGATTTTTAGAGATTGGCATCCTAGAATTTCTCTTGCTTTTGGAAATTATATTTGAAAAAATTAGTTGATAACAAAGTAATGCAAAGTTAAGTCTCCTCACCTTTACTTTTCAGGTCGTAGAAATTCCTGCAGGCGGTGAGCTCATGAAAACTGCTGAAGATATGACATTTTTGCCTGGTTTTTCACTCGAGGGATTTCCTAACAGGGACAGTGTCAAGTATGCTCAACTGTATGGGATTGCAGCTGAATGTCATACAATCCTACGAGGAACTCTGCGATATCGAGGTGAGTATTTATAATCTGATCTTTGCTTTTTCTTCAGGTGACTGGAAAAAAAATGTAACTCTCCCTCTCCCTCTATACTGCTGTTTCCCTGTCACTCCTCTTTCATATGCCAATAGGTACCTGGTATTAAAGGAGCCTGTGCTGAAAATGATTGTCATTTTTTTCTCCATCATAATTTTACCCCTCAAGAGTACTCATAGAGAGATCAGTCCGTTATACTACAACCGCAGGTGTTTCTATTTTGATGATTTCAACTTTTACTCTTTCATTGATTAAGTAATCGATGTCCTTCCATTAATTGTAGTCTATAGTTTTTGTTAACCAAAGATATCTTACGCATTTTTCAGCTCCTAATTTGCTCTCCGCCCATGTTTTTCCGATATCTTTCTCTGCATTATTTCCTTTTCTAGAAATTTCCTATGATGCGAGGTTGGCCTCACTATCTTTTCTAGCAAATGTGGGCACAAATTATGGTAGAGACAATGATATTATAGTTACTGCACAATTTTCAAAAAATCCTTAGTTACTCTTAATTTTAAATGAGTGATTTATTTGTCTTTCTCAGGATTTAGTCATATGATTCAAGGTTTGCAACTACTAGGACTTATAGATCCAAACCCACATCCTGCATTGCACCCAAATGGACCTGACATCACTTGGGTAAGATATCGAGAGAAAGTTCCTAGGATTATCTCCGTATATTCAGTAACAATGAAAATGCCGTAATAGCTGCACGTTTGATAAGAATAAAAAAAATACTAAAAAATGGGAAATGAAGGCTAAAAAAATTTAGAAGCTTAAAAAGCCGGGATGCTTCCGGGTCCTAACAATCCCATCGCATTCAACAACAAGAACAAGGCTGAATAGTGAATTATTCAGCATTTTTACACAGGTTCTTTAATAGGGACATGACACTGCTGCTGTGTCCGATATGCAGAACCTTTTGTTCTGTTGCAGTTTATCTTATCCTCTTGGCTGAAGTACGGATAGGAAAAAAAACTCCTCCTTGGCATTTCAAATAGATATTGTGTGTTAAAATTATGAAAAACTCGCTTATCAGCTTTGTTTCTCTGAAGACTGGCTTGTAATAAGTTCGATTCTAAAATCTTGTAGTGCTTAAAAGGTTTTGAAGAACATCATATCAAATAATAACGAAATCAAATAGATTGGAATTCCTTGTTGTTCAGCTGAGGATCCTTTACCATCATATGCACAATTGCACAATGCACTTATGCAATTCCATACCTAGTCTAATGTTAAACACTAACTTTATGTTCAGTCATGCCCTTTACTCAACAGTTGGATCTGAAAAAGTACAATTCTTAAATGATTTATACGAGATGAAACAAAAAGACAAGAATTCTTCAAAAGAAAAGAAGAATGAAGAAATGGGGAAGTAGTACAGGGTTTAAAGTTTTCCAAAATGTATAATGATTTGATGTGTTCAGTGTACATTTTTGAAACTCTTGAGGATTTCTGAATCCCTTCTAATGACTGCAAATTCTTAACATCTTCTGTTCCCTGTTTCAGAGACAACTTGTTTGCACCTTACTGAATCTCTCAACATCAGATATCTTCTATGAAAATTTGAAATCTAAAATCGGTGATAAGATAGGCCAGGATAGGCTAGTAGGAGTCGAAGAACTAGGATTCCTAATGGATGATCCTGTTCAAAAACTAACCACCCCTCTTGACACACTATCTCATTTCCTCAGCAAAAAATTAGCACTGGGTATGTTTTTACTTTTTCATGTTATCTTTGCGAGAAAGAAATTTTTCCTAAAAATTTATACAGTTTATATTGAGGCACACAACTTTTTGCCATCAACTTACATTTTTCGCTTCATGAATAGTATATTAAAGTTCCTTTCAGATATTTTTCAAGATTGTAATTGTATGTATGTTCCTTTTCCCTGGAGCCCTCAATTCTACAAACGAATTTCATGTTTAGAGTGAAGATAATCAATCAAAATAGTTTTAAAGCTCCACTCAATTGAATAGTGTCATGCAAAAATCGCTACTGTCCATTCTTCCAGCTTTCAGTCTTGTCCTAATTAAACGTTTCTGATCTCATTCCAGGTCCCAACGATCGAGACTTGGTAATTTTAAGACATAACATTGGTGTAAAATGGCCTGCTGGTCATCGCGAGATGAGGGAAATAACACTGGTGGTTTATGGAGAGTCCCATAAACGCACAGCCATGGCAAGGACAGTCAGTCTGCCTGCCGCCATCACTGCACAGATGGTTTTATCTGGTAAGTAAAATTACAGTGCTCTATTACAGTTTTTTTAACTGTTTTCCTAGTGTAGAAACATTTCCTGAATATCATAAATGATACATTGGTACTGCCCTGCTGAGGAAAAAGGCTCCATAAATCTCCAAATGTTGCCAAATATTCCTCAATAAAATACAAATTTTCTGGGAAACTTGTGGATCTTTTCCTCCATTTTGCAGAGTATTTTATTCTCAATTTAATCTATAGTACCTATTTGAAACTTTTAGTGAAAAATATTAATAACGTTTCTTGAAAACATATTTGGAAGGGGATGAGGAATATGGCAATGTTCAAATGCTGATGTGAGTTATACAGCATTTTTTCTTTACATAGTAATATGGCCCTCTCTTAAATTTTTAGGTTAAATTTTGAGGTTTTTCCAAGTCAAAAAGAATTCCTGATTTTTCCATAATAGATAATAATTTTAATTTACACAGCTAATTTTCAAATCAAATTTTTCCATATTTTAAGAAGTAAAAAGCATGGATTGTGAGCGTATTGAGATACCATACAAAATCACCATAATAACTGGAAAAAATCAAGAGAATTTTTTCTTCTTAAGAAAGTGTGTAATTAAATTTTACAGTTTTTCTGTATGAACTCAATTACATGCTTAAATTCAATTGTTTCATTTCCACATCCAGTTAATATTTATTCTTTCATTTTAGTCCAATATCAATTTTTGTCAAAATCAGCCTCAATGCGTTCCCTTTAACATTTGGTACTTAAATCCTTTCCTTTGTGTGTTCAGGAGAAATTCAAGCTGCTGGTATGGTCTTGCCATTATCACCTGACATTTACCGTCCTTTACTATCACGGTTACGCAAAGAAGGTATTGTGGCAACCGAAAACATTCGGAACTTGTGAATTCAATGCAAAAAGTATGATTTTTCATTTCTTTTTACCACCGAATAACTGAATTCAATCAGCAAACTCAAGCTGAGAGGATAATTTAATGATAATGCAAAGTGCACGCTTTTTGCCAAAATGCTGTCTCTACACTCACAGCATGTAACACCAAATCGACGTTACATTTTATTGGAGGAAGGACAAAAATGTCTGGAAAGGTACATCATAAACAGTTTATATTTTCTTACAAAAACTTAAATCTAAAATCAACCCTTCTAGCTACAACTGTTGAAATTTTTTTGAAAAAACAACTCATAAAAAGTTGTTAAAATTTATGTTTCAGTAAATCATTTTTGAATATTTTTAAAAGAGGTGAAATTTAAGTCAGGAAAGGTCTTAAAAAACGACGTAAAGATTTACTGTGTAGTTCCTAACAGTTAAAATGTTTGAAACATGTTTTAAAAGTCCTAAAGAAGTCGGAATTTTTTTATAAGACTTTTTTACTTAAATTTCACCCAATGTTCATTTTACTCAACAAAATAACCCAGAAGGGTCCCGTAAAAAATAATTTTTAATAGTTTTCCAAGAATTTTTGAAAAATGCTTTTCAAAGGTTATTGGCGTTATTGCCACTAGAGGAAAATCAAAGGAACTAGAATTTTTGAAAAACCTAAGTTGATAAAATTCTTTCCCTCCTATACCTTTTTATGATTGACCAGGCTCTTTTGAATGCTCAGAGCATGCTGAATTTGATGATCCTTGCTATTGCCCATGAGAAGAGCCTGCATTAGAAATTTGCCAAAACAGTGGCATGTACAAACTTTTTTCTCAAATATTCCCCAATGACAAACATTGATTTTCTTTCATTCACACACTTCCCTCAATGTTTAATTGTAAAATCCAATCCTATATCGATATTGTGAATCGAATTGTGAAAAAATTTGTGAAACCCCTATCACACTGTGAAAATTGTAGAAAGATCCTTTGAAAATGAGAATGAATATCACTTTATCTGTTATTTTGTCGACCTTTGGCTGTGCTGAAATCTGTTGCGAGTACTTAACAAAACTGCATCTAAAAATCAGTATTCACGAGTCTTATTTTTTGTAAAGTTATTTTGTAAGAGTGAATAAATTCTTGTTTTAAGTATCTGAATGTATTTCATTAACCCATGCTCTCGATTTGTTTATTATTTGTATTTATTAGTTTAATTTAAGCTCTTACTTTATTAATTTACAGCGTGAGGCGTTTTATTTTTTTCATACGTTTTATTGAGTTTGGAAAAAATGTGCATATTGTTCAAGAGATAAAATCAGACAAACCAGAAATAATGCCTTGTGAAAATGTAATGAGACATACTTCAAAGTCTGAAATAAGTATTTTTTCTTAACCATAAAGATTTAAAATTGAGGAAAACTATCTGAAAGTTTCAAGACTAAATACCTACTTAAAATGTTTGTCTTTTATAAAGTCATCTATATGTAGGTACATACTGTAAGAAATAAAATAAAATGAAAACATAGTAAATTAACATATTAAATAAACTCACAGAATGAAAGGAACTGAAAAGAACTTTAAATAGAAAATAAGTAATTGAGATGTATTTTATCATCAGCTTCAGGACTTACTTCAAAAATATGGTGAACTGATACTTTTTTTGATTTTGGATACAGACAGATACTCTGCTGCCCTTCCTCGCTTGTGTGCTTCCACTAAAGATTTGTAGTGCCAAGCATAGATTTGACCATGATGAAAGAATAATTTTATTCAAGCAATATAAAGTACCTTCCCTTTAATATGGTCATTTTTTGACCTCCTCATTTGTATTTTACCGTGCTAGTTTTTCTGGATAAGTACTTGAAATTCCCCTTAACCATGTTGAACACAAACAACTTAGAAGGCTGTCTTGCTCAGGGTACTTGAAAATAATCTCACATGGCGTTTTTGTACCATGTTTTGCGTCTGAGGAGAGTTGGAGATCTGGGTTTTTTTTACATAATCGCATGTCCATTTTGGGGAAACCAAAATTTGTGGAGCAAATTTAGTACATAATGAATGAAAAAAGAGGAGAATAACGGAGGCGTCCTCCTTGCAATTGGAGAGTTCAGGTTTGTGTCAAAGATGTATTGGAAGGTGAAGTGATATAGGTCCAGAAAACCTTAAATGAATTAATTATGAGATATTAATGTATTTACTTGCTGATCAATGGCAAAATTCCCGAACCCTGCATCTCGGTTTGCAGTGTTGCAGACATCCTGCCTTTTTTTAAAGTGGAAAGCTACCTATTCTATGCTTTGTTCCACCGAAAGTTCCGTAATTTTCTCTCTCTAAGTGAGGAATATTGTGTTAAAATTTCTAAAAATGATGCTGATTTATTCCCTGTATCGAACAATTGAAATAAGATAGGAGATTTTAAAACAATGAAACAAAAAAAAGTGGTTTGGTTCTGCAACTTCACTGTTGTGGTTGTGATGTCAATTAAATATCAATCTCAGAAGTTTTATAATTTAGATGTCAGTTACATAAATATCACTCATCCAAACGTTAAATTTACTGTAAGGTCACTACATTCTAATTCTTTATAATTAAAATCGATTTAAGTTCCTCCAGAAATTCCTTTACAATGTGATTCAGACCAAATATCCTAGGTAAGTAGGTACTGGAGCAAGTTCAAATTAAACGTTTCAATCAAATTCGATTTCTCTAAATTTACAATAAAGGTGTTTTATTACCTTAGTCTTTAGCATACAGCTTACGGGCCCCACACAAAAAAGCCTTCAGTATTTTTTAACAAGACAGAAAAAAAGTCCGTCCGGTAAACTTCATATTGTGCGCACTTTTGAAGCTCGGTCGATCCGTTCAAATTATGCCGCCATTTGAATGTACCGTCACCACAGCCAATCAGATCCCAGTTTTTTGTAAACATTACTCGAGATATCGTTGGAGGTTAGCTTTCGAGCTTTCGTGCAGCTTTGAGTGAGAAGCCCTCAGATTTCAGTGCTTTGTGCTTTCAGTTTCAGCTCGTTACAGCGTGCCGTCAGTTGAAGCTGAAGCCGCAACGCTGTTACAGCCGAAGTGCATGCCGTATGCATGTATCCGTGAGCGAGGTCGCGTCCAGCTCCGCGATGTAAAACGAAATTCGACCCGTGCGCTTCATCCAAATTTTTTTCTCTTTCACTCGCTTAATTATGCAAATTATCTGGTTGCATTCCATCCATCATTTTTCTTCTAGCCAAGAGCCCTTTGCCTGTATTACTTAAAATACGCAGTGTCATCCTGTAAAACACGTTAGTGTCAGTGCACCATGTCCGGCGATGCCCATGTGCGGAAAAGAGGCGCTGATAAACGTCGCAAGAAAGGTCAGTTTTTCGCATCTATCAATCAATTTTAATCATTAGTTCGAAAGTAAAGCAAGTCAATCGTAAGTCTACATTCCGGCCTTTTAGTATCATCAAATTCCACACTGCCTTTTTGTGCAACTTCTGCTCCTAAGCACAGTGCACCTAGCTTATCACCGACTATCAAGGATTAGACTTCGAAAACACACATACCGATTACGGTGTCTCAAAATCCTTGTTCCCATTTCATTTTTAAGGGAGGCCAAACTAACTTTATAGCTGGAAGTATTCACAGATTATGCTTTACACAGAGTAAAAGAACACCCAAATTTTCAAGATTTGACGCTAAGTAGTTTTCTACTTGGAAAATGAAGTGTGACAGGAAGTTTCTACCGCTGCAAACTGTGATACTTAATTGTTTCTGCTGTTTCACTGTCAATGTGCTTCACTCTTTTCTTATTCATATTATCAATACCGATATGTAAATGAGCTGCATTGGTCATCACCAATGCATGACAGAAAATTATAGGAATAAAGACCGGAAATTTTTGGTGTGAACAAGAAAATTGTTACCAAAAAGCGATCAGCAATAATCAAGTTTTTACACTCATAGTAATTCATGCCACTAAGGACCTTTTTAAATTAACAAGCTCTAGAGAAGGGAAGGAGAAGAGTGTTATATCTCTTTTAGTAGCGGTAAGCGTCAGAAAAAATTGGACTAACTCATTGACAGCAATTTGTCACATCTACCCCAAAGAATATAGGGATATTGTCAGCACAGCCTATGATAGACAGAAAAAAAGTAGGAAATTATCTGATTTATTTTACTTATTTGTTAAGCCAGGAGATTCTAGAAAATGGAAAAGTAAATTTTTGTGGGGCTTATGACTTTATTATTTGAGTGTTGCAACACTGCCTTCCCATCCTCCAGTGAGATTTTAAACTGATGCCAACAGGTTCAAAATCAGGGCTCGTCATTATAAACATGTCTAATTTAAGTAACCCCATTTCTGTTTAATTGCAAGACAAAAAATTTTGGAGTTTGAAGAATGGTAGCGCATTAAAATATTAAATGAGTGCCTCTTCCTCTTATTCATTACTACAGACAAAAAAATCACACTGCAAAAGAAAGAAGACAATATGGAGTCTGATTAGAATTAACAGGAATATATGCAAGGGTGAGCCACATTGGCTATGGGACATAACAGAAAATTATAGGAAAGACCAAAGGTTTAGAAAAAGTGCCTTCATTTGAATATGGAGGATAGGCATTGGCAGCAGTGGCGTGGCGTGAATTGCGATCTATCGATTGTTATGCCATTTAAACCTATGGAAAAGGATCGATTAACAGGGTGTTCGCAGCGAACACCTTAATAATCGATTCTTTACCATAGGTTTAAATGGCATAACAATCGATATAGCGCAATNGGGGGGGGGGGGGGCAAAAGGCACTTCCTCAAGGAGGTCTGGGATGCAGGAAGGCATCTCATGAAAGGGGAGTCTCGGGGCATCCCCCCATTTCTGAGGGGGTTCAGGGGGTCTCCTCAAGAAAAAGTCTGCAAATTGAGACAAAAGCAGTTCCACCAATGTATTCAGAGAAGACAACAGAAATTTCATCCAGTCATTTTCATGTTAAAACCCTTACTTTTTCTGAAAGAGGCTGGGTAGAATTCGGGTTGGGGGGAGGGTGGGGGTGTGAAAAGTGGGTACTAGACAGGAAAAAAGGTGATAGGATTTGCGATGAGTGGCATTACACCTTTTTATTAAATTTAAAAATCCACCTGTGCAGAACTGCTGAAACACATTATTAAAGCTTCATTTACATCTTTATTGTATCCGGAAGGTTTTTTTGAAACTTCTAAAAGGTCGAAGGATTTCTCCAACCAATAATTGATGAATGTCAGACTCTCCATCTATTTTTTGTTGTTTTTCTCTTTTCTTCTCTTTTCTTCTTTTCTATAGAAAATTCTGGTTATTTTCCCCCCTCCAACACCTATTATGTCTTTTCTCGTGAAAAAAGCGTTGAGGACCAATTTTTTTAGTTTTAGGTCCAAGCTCCTATGGGCAATTTCTGGAATTACCTATTCATCGCGTGAGGGAGCGTAGGTCCTCAACAGCGTGACGTAATTTATTAGACCATGTGTCCAATGCGATGTCCGAAAATGATTATTTTAGTGAGACACAAATAAACGGCTCGACGTATTTTTATTATTATTTTTTTCTACTCAGCGGGTCAGAATTGAAATCGGGGAAGTTAGGGAGACCTTACTTTGATACAGATTCCGATCAGTGGCAATGAATCGAAATCGGAAAGCGACGTATTCCTCAGAACTTTCACTTGGTTGTAGCTTTAATTAACGAAATTGCAATTTTGTTTCAAGATAACACACGCGTAAACTCATCGGTGGGGACGAAGGGATGGAGAGAGGGAGATCATTGCCCATTGGCCCAGTGAGTTGTTGGTTAAAAATAGAGGCTGGCTGCGACTTTAGACAGCGATGTTGTCGCTCAATTCGAAGTTTTTAGCGTCTGCAGCGAAGTTGGACCTGGGACACTGATTTTAAAGGCACAGCGCGAAACATGCCATAACTTTAATTTTGACACGCTGCCGCCGCCGCGGAGATAGTCGTATAGTTTTTAAGTATGTGGGTCTCTTTTAGTCTTTTCAAATCTGTATATTTCTCGCCGTGGTCACATCAATTACTTTCAAATACATTTGAATCCCCAAATGCAGAAAGGGGACTTCTCCACATTGTAGCGAAATTGAGGTAAGCACGGGTTGAGGCGATGGGTAGGGGCATTTCTTAGTTGCGGTGTTTCAGAATCTCTTGCGCTAGTTTTATTTTAGAGAGGAAACTATTGAGTGAATTTTCTGAAAATTTACGTTTTCAGCTCTGTAAAAGCATAAAGAATGTTTAGGAAAAGTTACTACAAATTACATACATTTGCTTGAATTATAATGGATGAAACGTTAGCGGAGATTGTGAGACACTGCGACCAAAAAATGCCTTTTTTTACATTCAGCGCTTCGATTTTCATTTCGTAATGGTATTAGGCACACCTCAGGATTTTTGCTCAGCTTGTCTCAGTATACCTAGAACCCTGTTTATGCGAATGAAAAAGTGAAGCGCGCAAACCCTATGTGGACAGCAATGTGAAGGCAACCTTAAAAAATGCGAAAGGCGAGGAACTTTTTGCACCCCTGCCCGGGTGCTGAAAATGCCACCTGGGGGTAGAATAAGAAATTGTTAAATATCAAGATAGCAATTGAAATATATTTTGCTATTGAAAAATACCGCGAAAACCCTTGAGGATTATGAGAAAGGGATCAAATTTTCTCGGAAAAGTACCCTATGGCTGTTACAAGAGCGAATGATTAACTTGTGCACGTGAATGTTCGTGTGTTTCCCGGGAAAGTAGATCTTGGCCGAGCATTTGTAGAAACTCTCCGGAGCAGGACTTTTGGAGAACTTTTTGGGAATGGGGATTCTCGCCTACTTTCCCGGGAACGAGAAAATGTCCGCCCACGATCTAATTCCCCATCGTGTAAACGCAAGCTTCGGTCGGTGTGCTACCATGCCAAGGAAGAACGCTGTATGAGCCCTCAGACGCTGCTAAGTTTCCTTTGACCTATCACAAATTTGTTTTCGTATAGATAATTTGTATTAAAGTAGATTTGTATAATATATTTTTCTCCTAATTTTTCTGAAAATTTTGTCCCTGATTTGATCTAAATTATACCTGTGAATTTTCATGAACAATTCCAACTTACTGTCTTACGACTCGTGCGTCTACCGCAATCAGTTTGTGAAAAAATCCACCGCTTTCTTCAAAAATAAATATTCTCTGCAAAGAAATTTGGCAACATTCAAATGCTCTTACGGTGTTTTTCCTTCCTTGGTAAAAATTGGCATTAGAATCTGTGTTCCAAAATACGATAGACCTACGGCCGGCTGTAAGATTTTCAATAGCTTCTACAGCCGGCTACACAATTTCTTATAGCCTTTTATAGCCGATGGCGACTAAGCAACTCACAGCCAGGCGATAAAGTGTATGCTAAACGTCACTAATTACGGATGCTAGGACTTAAAGAGTTTTTGGACCACTGCTCTCTTTTTGGGCCGTAGTATCTTGATTTATTTTGCGAGGAAAGCTCCGTACTTTTGATGGATGCCTGCCATTCCTAATATATTAGAGCGCCTTCAGTTTCGTATGATACTGTGCAATACCTCTGGTGTGAAATAGTTGCTTCAAGCGCCGTGCCGTGGCACGTTGCGGTGCGGCAGGCGGGCAGCTAGCGCAAAACGCGCATTGGCGCCTACAAACCTAACAGGGATACTTCACGCGTTGCGCAATGCGTGAAGTATCCCTGTTAGGTTTGTAGGCGCCAGTGCATCGCCGCTCCGCTTTGTGCTAGGCTCTAATATTTAATCTGGCGGAGTCAGCGTTATTCAACTCATGATTTTGAAATGTTTGCACATCCTGTATGGATTATTCTCGTTTTAATTGATGAAAAAAAATATGTATTAAAGGAAAATATAACGTGTGTTTTGTAAATATTTAGGTGGTTCCGTATCAAACTTAATGATTTCCAAAGCACATGAATTTCAATACAATTTCTTATAGCCTTTTACAATCGATGGCAAAAAAGCAACAGCCAGGCGATAAATTGTAAAGCCCGGCTATAGGAACTATAGCCCGGCTGCATAATTTTTTATCGCTTCGTATAGCCCGGCCGTATGATTTTCTCCGCATTCTACAGCCAGCTATATGATTTTCTGTAGCCTTCTCTAGCCGGCTATAAGAATTCCTATGGTATTTTGAAACGAAGCTCTTATCGCCAATTTTTACCAGGGTTAGCACGGCAGTATGGCTCTTGGAACCGCACGGGTTGAGTCGTTTCAGCCATAAGTTATTTTATTTGTCGTTGAGGCACACGTTATTACAAAAGACAATTCGGGAAAAAGGCACCCAGCGGGCTGATTGATGAAATTGATAGACAAATCTATAGACAAGGAAGA